CGGCCTCTGTCCCGTGCAGTATGTGGGCTCCCCATGTCCAGAATACTCATCTGCCCCATTTCTCCACCTGACTCTAGAAATACCCACAGCCCAAAGGGCAGAAGAAAAAGAAGATTGTCAAGTATGGTATGGGGGGCCTCATCATCCTCTTCCTCATCGCCATTATCTGGTTCCCACTGCTTTTTATGTCGCTGGTACGCTCTGTGGTCGGTGTGGTCAACCACCCTATTGATGTCACTGTCACCCTCAAGCTTGGTGGCTATGAGGTAAGAAGCCTGGGGATCTCTCCAAGGATCCTTGACCTCTGCATAGTCCTACATTAGAGGAACCAGATCCCTAAGTCTGCCTGAGAACAGACTTATCATGCAGAGTTATGTAGTCCAGCCAGACTTTCCAGGGCTAGCCAGGCCTCTGGTGACCAACCAATAGGAAAGATATGGAAAGATAAGCAGGGATGGACACAAGTTGCTCTCAGAGTTGACGGTTTGAGGCAGGGCAGTATAGTGAAAAGTACTTATTGGAGGTCAAGAAACCTTTGCTACTATCTTCATGACTTTGGGCATGTCATTTCTCCTGGCTGAGCCTCAGTTTCCTCATCTGTAAAACAAAGAGGTTGGACTTCCCACCTAAAAACTCATTGTACTTATGCTCCAATTCTGGTTCATTACTAGCTACATGACCTTAGAAAACTTACTCTCTGGAACTTGGTGACCCCATTTGTCAAATCGGGAGTACAGTGTCCACAGGATTGTTGTGACTGATTCAGTCATTCATACTTTCATTCATTCATTCATGCACACATGCAGTAGAACTATATTAAGCACCTAGTTTCTGCAGAGGACTGTAATGGGTGCTGGGGGAAGTATAAAGATCATCAGATATAGTCTTTGCCCTCATGGAGTTTCCAGTCTAGTAAAGGGATAAGACATGAACAGTTATTACATGCTAGTAGTAATATATGGAGAATTGCTTTAAAAAAGTGAAATCTGAATCTCAAGTCTTTACTATAAGGGAAGCCACCTTGGATTGGTGGCATTCAAATTGTGCAGGAATTCAACAAGGCGAGAGAGGGAGGGGCATCCCAGGATAGGGCACAGTGTGAGCAAAGGCAGGGAAGTGTAGGCCGTGTTTGAGAATAGGTCCATTTGGCATGATCATGGGATCAGATGTAGAGCTGCAAGGGACCTTAGAATCCATCAAGTCCAACCACCTCTATTTTACACATGAGGAAACTGAGGCACAGAGTGGTTAAGTGACTTGCCTAGGTCACACAGCTGGTAAAGTATCTGAGACTGGATTCAAATTTAGGGCTTCCTGACTCCAAGTCCAGACTTCTATCCATGATGCCACCTGGATGCTGCTCTGTGGATGAAAATAAGGAAATAAAAGGTGGAATGGAACCAGATGGTAGGGGCCTTTGAATGGCCAGGCAAAGAGTTTTAAGCTTAGTAGGATAAAAGGAACCAGTGGAGATGCCCTCGACAGTGTCCCCAAAGTCTAAGCTTTAACTTAAAACTAGCCTAAGACCTATAGGACACACTATCACCCTCTCAGGTATGCTTCAGGAGCAATTTATGTGAAGACCTGATGGGTGAGGGGGCTGAAAGATGGGAAGATGTGCGTAGAGGCCACTGCTATAGTGCAGACAGATGGGTAATGAAGGGCCAGCAATAGGCTGGTGCCAGAGCGAGCTAGACAACGGAGAGATGCCACATAGCAGAAATGAATAGGAGTTGGCCACCGCTTTGTTACGGCAAATGAAGGAAAAGAGTAGAGACCAAGATGGCCCCAGGGGAAACTGGGTGAAGTATGGGGCTGCTGACAGAGATGATGGGGTCAGCAGAACCAGGTTTGGGGGGAAGGAGGAGCAGCTCAGCCCTGGATTTGTTGAGTTGGAAGTACTGGTGAGACATCCAGGTGGAGATGCCCTGTAGGCAGCTGGAGTAGGGGGTTCACAGCTATAGATCTAAGAATCACCTGGACTAAATGAACATAGGTGGTAGTTGAAGTCATCTGAGTCAATGAGATTGGAGCAAAGTGAAGCGAGAGAGGGAGAAATAACAGTGAGTGAAAGGAGAAGGGCTCACAAGGATGACAAGATTTAATAACAGCTAGAGTTTACATAGGACTTTGATGTTTATAAAGAACACACACACATACATAAAATTTCATTTAATCCTTACAATTCTATGAGGTAGATGCAGTTATTATCCCAGTTTTACAGATGCAGAAACTGAGACTGAAAAATGTTAAGTGGCTTGGCCAGCATCACAAAGCTAGTGTCCAGCAGTCTAGTTACTGTGTCGCCAAGCCATCGATAGTGAGTGGAAGAGATAGAAGGTCGTGATTGGAGAGTCCAATTACAACATTTAGGGACCTGGAGGTAGCGTAATAATAAAGAGATGGTAAGGTCTAGAGTATGACCATGATGGCGCTTGGCTGAAATGGGGTCGAGGTTGTTGGGTTTGGGGGAAATGGAGAAATCTTGTGGTCAGGTTGTCGTAGAGACTCTATACAAATATTAAAGTGCCTCGAGATGGTGGCTATGATGGAGATGGCATAGGGTGGGGGAACAAGAAGACAGATCAGGAGCCAGGTACTGAGGGCACTGGTTTGAGAGGGGGCACTAAGTGGTAGAAAGAGAAGGTATAAATAATATTGTGCAATGAAAAGTTCATCAAGGTGGTAGAAATGGGATCTGGCAATGGGGCTGGGGGACAGAGAACCTGTTGACACCTCCCCCAGCTTGTGGAGAGTGGTCTGAGCAGAGGGAAAGGATTGGGGGAGGGGGTGTTGAGGGGAGAGATGGTATCCTGCAGAGGGAGTTGGAATGGGGGGGGGAATGACGACTCCTAAGACTGAACCAACTCTCCCCCCCTCCCGCCCCCCCAGCCCTTGTTTACCATGAGTGCACAGCAGCAATCCATAGTGCCTTTCACACCTGCTGCCTACGAAAAGCTGACCAGGAAATTTGACCCTTTTCCGGTAAGCTGCCCTGCCCACTGGAGTGAGGTGTGGGTAGGGGTGGTCAGACGGGAAAGGGGGGGACCAGAGGTGGGCCAGCTGACCCTGTACTCCCTCCCACTCCAACACAGCTGGCCATGCAGTTCATCAGCCAGTACAGCTATGAGGACATTGTCACAGCACAAATCGAGGGCAGCTCTGGGGCCCTGTGGCGCATCAGCCCCCCAAGCAGGGAACAGATGAAAAAAGAGCTATACAATGGCACATCCGACATCACCCTCCGTTTCACCTGGAACTTTCAGAGGTCTGGGGGCCCACGATGGGGTGAGGGGCTGGGCTAGGGACTGTCTGCCTTCTCCCCAGCACTCACTCTCACCTGCGCCTGCAGGGACCTGGCCAAGGGAGGCACTGTGGAGTACACCAATGACAAACACACGATGGACCTCACCCCCAACAGCACCGAGCGGAGGCAGCTAGCCAACCTGCTGGAGGGGACCACAAACCAGGCTGTGTAAGTGGCATCCCCTGCACCTGCTCCAGGGAGGGGAGAGCGCATCTGGGTGGCACCATCCCAACTCCATCACTCCGACTTTGTAGGGTCATCCCGAACCTCTTCCCCAAATACATCCGTGCCCCCAACGGTCCTGAGGCCAACCCAGTTAAGCAGCTACAACCAGGTGAGTGCAGCAGCCAGTGGGTGGGGTGGGGAAAAGAGAGGGGCCAGGGTGGTTGTTTCCCTTCTTGTGACTGGCTAAGAGCCTGCATAGGGCATCCCAATGTACCCATCTCCGAGTCCTTGGACAGTGCCAAGAGACCCACTGTATCCCGGGGCGGTGGGGAGAAGGGGTGCACACTCCCACTACCCAAGCCCAGGGGTCTGGATAAAGCATCCCTCAAGCTTCTGCATCTCTTCCCCAGATGAGGAAAAAGACTACTTGGGGGTGAACCTGTCCCTACAAAGGAATGGGGTGAAAGATGGTTCCCTTGAGTGGTGGGTGATCACCATCGAAGACTGTCAGCCAGACTGCAATATCCTGCCCATGGTCATATTCAGTGACAAGGTCAGCCCCCCGAGCCTGGGCTTCCTGGCTGGATACGGGTGAGTGCTGCAGTGGTGGAGGGCCTGTGTGGGAAGGGGCAGGCGAGGGCGCCATCCCGAGACTCCCCTCTCCTCTGAAGCTCGAGACAGGAGGTGGGCTTCTTTGTCAAGCCCCCCAGCTAAGAAGCAGACCCCAACCATCTCAGTCACCACCTTCTCTCTTCTCTGGCCTCCCCTGCTGGGGGGATGCTAGAGGCCCCTGCCAGGCCCTGACTGCGTTTCCCCCTCCGGCAGAATCATGGGGCTGTACGTATCCATCGTACTAGTGATCGGCAAGTTTGTCCGCGGTTTCTTCAGTGAGATCTCGCACTCCATCATGTTCGAGGAGCTGCCTTGTGTAGACCGCATCCTGAAGCTCTGCCAGGACATTTTCCTGGTGCGGGAGACCCGGGAGCTGGAGCTGGAGGAAGAGCTGTACGCCAAGCTCATCTTCCTCTATCGCTCCCCGGAGACCATGATCAAGTGGACCCGGGAAAAGGACTAGGAGCTGTGTGTGTCTTCTCCCCAGCCAGAGGCGCCTGGCCCAGGAGGCAGGCCTGAGCCTCCTCCAGCACCCTGCCTCGCCAGAGGGCTGCCTCAGAGACTTCACGGGCGGGCACACCCAGGGCCCTCGAAAGGAGGGCTGCTGCTAGCCTGCCCCAGCCTCCCCGCTGAGCCTCAGGAGCACGCAGCAGGTGCCGAGACTGCCTAGCCACAAGGCTGCAACCTGCACCTGAGGACGCACTACCCAGACCACGGCCACCAAAGTCTACTGACTTTTGGACCAGAGGCATGGCCGCTTCGCTCTCCTCCTGGTCTGCCCACGTCTAGCCTTGGCTCCCGCCAGCCCTGACACGGCCTGGCCTCCAGCTTGAGGGTGGAGCCATGCGTCTGACCAAAGGAGCCAGCCATGCTGGGGGAGGGACCTGGGTGTCTCCAAATGTACTGTAGAGTTTTCTAATGAAAAATGATTTATTTATACAGACGGACAATTAAATGGCAAGTTGTGGCCTCACCTCTCCTAGCTTGTCTCCTTCACTCTCTTACCTCACACCCCACCCCCCAATCCTTACTAGCTGAAATGACCAGTTTTTGTGGGGAAAAAAAACGAGCACTGATGGAGCTCCAGGAGACAATGGGTATGTTTCAGGGGAGATGCCAGTGGTCCTCGTCCCTCAGCTTCAGAGAAGCCACACCAACACTCAGCCGCTGAGATGAGAAACGGCAGCCCCGGGGCAGGAGGCCCTGTCGGATTGTATGGGTGGCCTCCCACGTGGGGTCGGGAAGGGTCTGGATAGGCCATCAAAACTGGGGCGAGAATCCCAGGGGATGAAGAGCTGCAGGCGTAGGCCTCTGGCTTCCCAATTCTCCCAGAGTTCCAAAGTGGAGGCCTGGCCACTAGCCCCCAACAACTGGCACTGAGGAGCATCCATTCAGCTCTCAGTCCTGGCAGGTCTCATCCTTACCTTCCTCCTCACTCTCCTCAAACAAGAATTCTTGGACCTCCTGCTTTTCCCAGGCCCTGAGGAAAGACCATGGACATTAGGGACCTTTCTCCCTGATGTCTTTCATTTCAGGGACCTAGCCAAGCTGTATCCAGCTTTCTAGAGACACCAGGTCTCATACAACCCTAATGATAATGGTCCCATTCCCTGAGAACTACTCCAGCCCCAGCTTGTAGGCCAAAAGACAGAGGGCCCCATGAGGGTCTGACTGGGGTAAAGGTCTCCAGGCTGCCTTCACAAAAGGGCCAGGCCTAGGCTGGGTCCTGTGAGAAGCCGAAGCCCCACGCAGCCACAAGATTTACTGCCCCAATCCTGAAGAAAAGAAAAGGAAATCCAAAGCCTTCCCTCTTTTTATCTCAAGGTACGGAGCTACCATTGACACCTATGGGGCCCAACTCTACCCCAGCCTCACAAACACTACCTGGCCCTTCAAGCAATCAGGCAGCCTCCCCCCTAGGCCTGGCCCTGAAGGGCCATGCTGTGCCCACCTCCCCTCTGGCAGCCCCTACCCCCCTGGCCCTGAAAGGCCGTGCTGTGCCCGTCTCACCTCTGGCTTCGGCACTGGGACTCCATTAGGATGTAGGGAGGAAAAGGCTCCAGGAAGGGCTGTAAGGAAGGTCCCCCACCCCAGGTATTAGCAGCACCATGACCATTTCTCCCTCTTCTACCCTGAGGATCCGCCCTATTCCCCCGGTGGGTCTCCCCTCTCCACCAGGACCATAAACTGGCACCTGCTACTCACCACGTCTTTCATGTTCACACGGCAGCTATAGCAAAGCTGCTCAATGAAGCTGGCTCTGGGCTCCTCCCTAGAAGGTGGAGGAAAGTCAGCCCCCTCATCTCAGGGAAGAGCAGGCCCAAGTAGGGAAGGAAGCTCCCAACCCCCTCCCCTCTAACCCCACCATGGCTAGGTCTGGCTGGCCTGGACAGTGCCACAGTCACACCATGGGCCAGCTCTCACCTCTCAGACGACGGCCGTGTGTCTCGGCAACAGCCCGGCTGCAGCCTGGTCCCTTTGGTGCAGCAAGGCCTCCCGGGAGCCCCTGTGGGCAGCACAGGGGCAGGTGAAAGTTTCTGGGCCAGACGCTCCAAGGTCTGGGCTCCAAATGCAGTAGCACTGTCTGAAAAGCACAGACCAGGATTTCCTGGAGGCTAGCTGGCTCCCGAGGATGGCCAGGAATCCAGGTCAGGTTAGACCATGGAGTAGGTCAACTTAAACGCAGATTCAGGGTCACCAGCTCCAGGGACAACACCCTACTCGCAACCAAGGCAAGAAGGAAAAGGGTACAAACCTGTGCTGTCAATGTCCAGAGCACACATGCAGAGGAGGCAGCGGGCGGTCGCAGCGCCAGCCGCATCCCCATTTCGGGGAGCCTTCACCAGCTTCTCGCTCGTCCTAGGACCACGGGTGGGGGAGGAGGAGAAGAGAGGCCGTAAGGCCCAGTGTGCCCAGGGCTCACTGCTGGTGAACGCCCAAGGAGGCAGAAGCCCCTCAGGAGGACAGACAGTGCCATGAGCAGTAAAGAGGCTCTGGTGCTCACGTCCTTTCAGTGCTGCACGGACCCCTCCCACAGCGCTCTGTGCCCCGGCCCGCCCCCAGACCGGCCGATTCCATGCCCCTGGCCGGCCTGGCATCCTGCCCTGTAGCCCCACGTCAGACCTGTACACGGTGCTGATGGTGGAAGGGAACTGGGCCTGTAATCTGAGGATGAAGCTCTCCATCAGCCGGTGGATACTTGCCTTTTCTGGGGCCTGGGGAGGCAAGCACAAGTGGGGCTGGGGCTGGGGCCGGGGCCCACCACAGGAGGGAAGCCTGGCTCCTCTAAAAGTAGACCCCGACCCCCTCCTAAGGGGGCACATGGGTCTGACAATGAGCTAGGAGGGAGTAACCAACTTTTCTGCACCAGCAAGCCTGCCTCTGGGGCCCTGGCCCTCCAGTGGGGTCTCCCCCACCACCCAGGGGAATCTGGAGGGAACTCTGGGAAGATTAGAAGGTCACAGCACTCACAGAACCTCCCTGGCATGAAGAAGACCAGGGGACACAAAGCTCTATGCATGCACATTTGTGTGTGTGCGCGTGTATATGTGTGTGTGTGTTTATGTGTGCATGTGTGTGCATGCGCACGTGTGTATGTAGGTGTGCATGAGAGTGTGCGCGTGTGCATGTGTATGTGCGTGCGTGCGTGCGTGTGTGTGTGTGTGTGTGTGCGTGTGTGTGTGTGTGTGTACATGCACATGCACTCACAAGCACCTACGGCCTTCACCTCTGCAAGTAAGAGCCAGGAGGACAGCCTCCTCTTTTGGACACTGATAAGATCCAGGAGAGAACAGCCCTCAGAGGCCCCCCCGGTCCAATACCCTCCTCTTAAAGGGGACAAGGAGGCCGCAGGGCTGGTGAGGGGCTGAGGGAGGACCCAGCCCTCCGGCCACACCAGGCCACCTCTCAGGACAAGGCTAAGGGCTTCCTGTCACCACAGGGCCCTCACTCCCTACCTTGGTGTCAATGGCTGGGGTGAAGACAGAGGGAACTCCAAACATCCTGTTGTAAAAAGCAATCTCCTTCAATGTGTAGTCTCGCATGGGACGAAGCATGACCACATCCCCATGCCGGTCATCCGAGAAGCCCTACAGGCAGAGGGACAGAGACAGCGGGTGTGCTTGCTTGCTCACGTGCATGCACACGCGCTCGCTTATGCAAACACACGTGAGGACAATGGCGAAGAAATCAAGCTGTTAGTGGATCTAATCTCCTCGGTGCTAACTCGCTAGGGCCGCTGGCTCAAGGGTCCCAAAGGCTTTGCCCCTTGCATAGGACAGTAACATGGTACAGGTGCTCAGTAAAATCACTGTTATTTTTATAAACCGGCACTGGCTATGGAAAATAGGCACTTCCCCCAAGTAGGCAACAATTCATTTACCTGGGCAAGAAAAAGCATTTCCACAGTCACCTGCTGGGGGCAGATGCTGAGCACCTGCGTGGCCTGTTTCTCTCTTCCCTCTTCCTCCCTCCCTCTCTCACCCTCCAGGCCCTGGAGAGCTTGGGCTGGCTGCAGGGAGCTGATGGTGACCCAGGAGCATCGGTGGTCTTCTCCGCTGGGGCCGTGACCTTCCTCAGCATCGGCTCTTGTGCTCCCTCGTCCCCCACCCCACAGCCCAAGGGCAGCAGCCTCTAAGTGTCATTCTAAGCCTGGTGTCAGACTCTCTCAGCTCACCCCTGTACCAATGGCCAATTCAGCCCCCCTCTGGTCTACACAAATCACCACTGGACCTTTCAAAGACATCAGAAAGAAATGTCTCCAATGGGACCAACTGTCTGCCCATCACAATGAGGTTAGGGGAAAAAGGAAGGAAATGGCCTTCTAAAACAATTTCAGGACCTAATTAGTAATAACAGTTAACATTTATATAGTGCCTATTACATGCCAGGCCCTGAACTAAGTGCTCAACAATTATCTCACTGGATCCTCACAATAATCCTGGTTGGTGGAGGGTATTTATTATTACCCCATTTTACAGATGAGGAAAATGAGGCAGGCAGTTACTGCCTTACTGTTGTATGGGTGGTTTTTTTCCAACTCTAATTGACCTGGAGCAGGGGCTCTTAACCTGGGGTCCATGAACTTGTTTTAAAAAATATTTTGATAACTGTCTTACAATATAATTGTTTCCTCTCTAATCCTCTCCATTTTGTTTTCTGCCTTTAAAAACCTTACTCTGTCCCCAGCCAGCTGGAGAATTCTGGCCCTACAGGTTGTTTCTGAGTCTCATGAACTTCCCAGGACCTACTCCAAGCGGCTCTGGGACCTTCTAGGAACAACAGCCTCAGTGACCTCACCGGCCTGGCCTAAAGGGAAAGCAGCCAGAGGAAGCATACGGACTGTCTCCTTCTGGCCAGCAGTTTCAAACTTTTTGGATTACAGTTCACTTTGGTGGGACAAAAGACCCCACAGAACCTATCCTGCCTCCACAGGGTGAAAAAGGAGGGAGACGAAGGGAGGTGAGGTTAAGAGAGCAAGGGCTCTCTGACCTGTTCTGCTCTTGCCTGGTGAAGCCCTGGCATTCAGAGATGCAGTAGGAGATGGAAGGGATAGGAAGGGAGGGGAGGGGAGGGCCTAGAGGCTGTTAGACCAGAGGACCCTGGGAAAGGGGAAGACTGGCTGCTTCTTAATGCTTTCAAAGCACAGCCTGGGGGATGCACAAGGGAAAGGGAAGCAGCACCCACAACATGCCCCCTTCTGCTTTGTCTGCTGACTAGGAGCCTAGACTGGGATACCAGCAGGACCTACTACTGAGTCTCAGACCAGAGCACATGCAGCGCAGACATCCACTCATGTAGAATGTCTCATGATGCTCCCACTACAGAAAGCCTTTCAAATCCCATGAGTGTCCCCTAGAACACGCCCACCCTTTGCCAGTGCTTACTGTGTCCCAGGCAAGGAAAGCCCCTCTCCCCAGCGCCAAATTGGTCATGAGTTTGATGGCCAGGCGGGTACAGCTGTCACCTAGCATCACTTTGGTATAGCCTTGCACGCGAGCTACATGCAGGATCAGGTGGGCCCTACAAAACAAAGAGGGCCCAGGAGGGGCCGGACCCAGTGAGCAGCTCGTTAAGCCACTGCTCTGGAAAACAGAGAAGGTAGCCTTGAATATCACCCCCCACCCCAGGAGAGGGCCAGGCTCACCGAAGGGTCTGCAGAAGCTCCTCTCTGGCAGTCAGTGTCTTCACCGAGCTGAAGAGAGTCATTAAAGCTGTGGTTTGTGCTGGTCTGGGGAGGCTGTCACCAGCGACTTCCTCTTGTCCCACAGGGTCCTGGGTGCTAAGCTGTCTCAGCTTTTCCTGGATCTGCTCATCACTCAGGACAGCTTCTCCTCCCCCTTCCTCTGGTGCTCTCTGCTGCTGCTGCTGCTGCTGCTGGATAAAGCCATCCACGGCTTCCTTGTAGGTATTCTCAAACCCTCTGGGGCCCTGGGAAACAGGCTGTAAGACTGACGTGGGCAAGTTAAAAACCTGCAGGGACAATGGGAACAAGAGGTCACAGTAAAGATCCTGGATTTGACACAATTAGGCGGGCTATGGTGCTCCCTACATCATCTGTGGATGGAGAACGTTTCAGAAGATGCCTGACTCTATACATCACCTGGCAACTTCCCCACTGCAGGCACATAATCCCGAGGTGAACAACTCTAGATCTCAGAAGATTCACCTCAAATTTCAAGTGGTTACACTAAGCATCATAAATCAATACCATGGTGCACCTGATTTGCCAGCTCCTCGTGGGCACAAAGAAATCCCTTTAACTGGGACAATGTTTTGGGCCAGACCCAAAGTCCCTCCACGTTCAATGGCCACAGGGGTAACCTTCCTACCTCTTCTAATGAGACTATGTGGTATGGAAAGGCAATTGTCTGCAGGATCAGCTTCATTTCGACCACGGTCTTTGCTCTCTCCTCTGGGCTCTGACCACAAACTGCTCCCTCTAGGAAAAAAAGAAAGGAAGGAGCCACAGGTTTCTGGTTGGAGAAGAGAAGCTCCCAGTTAGGACCACCCCTCCCTCAGCCCTATCCAAAGTGAGGCATGAGTCAAGAGATCCATCCCTGGAACCAAAAAGGCCCAGAGAATCCCAGGGAGCCACACCTCTACCACAGGTTGAGCAAAAAATACAAGAAAAAGACTTTAGGGTTAAAATGCTACAAGCTAAATTGGGCAAAGGATCTGACCTACTGTAGATAAATTTAGCAAAGACTGCTGTTTATAAGGGCATGAGTCTTGGACTACATGGCTAAAAATGTCCTTCAGAAGGCTGCAGGCTCCCACTGAAGCCTAGGGATTCCTCCCTCTTCCATATAACTAAAGATCTGGCCCCTGGAAAACTCCTAACAAGCTGTCCTTCTCACTAAAAAAGAATCAAAAGCTCTATTAACAGAGACTGCAGGGCGACAAGCGGGGCCCTCAGGCATCAGCAAAGCCATGGGCTGGTGCACGGAGACTACACATCTAATAATACTGCCTCATATCTGCACAGCAGCATACACTTGTCAAAGGCTCATTAGGTACTCCCAGAACTCCTGTAAGGAAGATAGGGCGAGGATTCCTACCCTGGTTTTACCAGTGAGGAAATGGATCAGCGGACAAAGTCGTCTGCGCAAAGCCACACGGCTAGTTATGCCATTTAAAAGTTCATGCTGATCAACACTCAATATTGCCTTAATCTAGACAGACTAATTCTCTAGTACTTTTTTGGACAAACACAACATCCAAGCTGTCCTTGGTGGCTTCTCTCTGAAACACACACACTAGGGTTTGGCAGCAGAAGACGTCCTGGGTACATACCATCGATGTAAATGATGCCTGGCACAAAGCGGAGCCTCTTTGCAGACTCTCGGCTCAACCCCTAAAAAAATAATACGAGACGCTTAACCAAGGTCTCAAACAGTGAACTTAAATACACGGCCCTTCTTGGAACAAAAGGATGTGTTTCTGCCAAAGACAGACGACTAAACTACTACTTTTTCTTCTGGATTCAATGTCTGCCATAAAGAAACAACAGCCTAAGATGAAAGCCAACTCAGCCAGTGAGAAGCTCTTTCAAAATCCTTCCAGGTCAGACTGATGGTGGCAGGCTCTCCAGCCTCACCTTCCACAGAAGGCCTACCCTCAATTAGATGCTTCCTTTGGACTACTCTAAGAAAGCCCTTTGTACTCTCTGTATAAAGATACCCGAACACCACAACCCAGCCCTCAGCCCTCAGCCCAAGCAGTATTTGGACCTGGTTAAAATATAGCCCAAGAGATATGTCCAATGGTCAGGTGACTGGCGTTACCACCTATCTATGACCTGTCACTTACACTTCCTACCAAGTGAAACTTTAAGACCATTCTTCTGTGTCTGTCGCTGTGACAGCCACTTCAGTAAAGCCCAATGCAGGAGAGGCTGATCATAGGGAGAAGGACCTAGGGCTGTCGGGGCAGAAGTAACCCCAGAAGTGGGTTTTGTATGCTTAGTTATACTTTTAGAATACATAAAAGATTAGCCAAATATGAGAGCTCTCTGATAAGAAAATAATTTTGATGAAAAAAAAAATCAATAAAAGAATCATATCAAAACCATGTATTTAGTGTGAAAAATCAAATGGCTGAGAGTGTGGGAGTCCATGGCTGTGATCAGAAGCTACTTCAGTCAAGGGATTAAGACCGAGGAGCTCCAGGACCTGTGTTCATGTTTAGCAAATTTGCAAATTGAGGTGAAAAACAAACAAACAAACAAAACAAAAACCAAAAAACAAACCAGTGCGACCTGACAGCAAATTCCAGGCTTGTTTCTTTGTCTCTGAAGAATTCAAGTGGGAGCCACACTTGGGCTATGTCTGAAGACCAGGGAAAGCAGGCAGGACAACTGGAAACCTGCCAGCTGCGGGGCCCCAGGTAACTCTCAGTTACAGAAAGTGTTTGGATTAGGGTCAGAGGAGTGAGCTCCACAATCACTGGTCAACATGAGTCAGAGAGGACCAGACACCAGGCCCCACCAACATAACCTTCAGTAAAATCACAGAAGGACGAGGGATTCCTTCCAAGTTCCCTCAATTTCACCCTGAGAGGAAAGTGGCAAGGATATGAAATTAAAACACTGTGAAAATACCTCTTGGACTTGCCAGATCATTGAGCTGGACGAGGGACCACCCGACCATGCAAGAAGGACCTGAAAAAGGAACGCAGAAACGTCAGGTTTTAAATATTAACTTATCCATCTGCCATCTCCCTTCTACCCATCTGAAGTCCCAGCCACTGAGATAAACAGAAAGCTTAACTCCTTCCCATCAGACTCAGAGCAATGAGCCAGAAATGAAAGGGTAAGGGACTCAGCTTCATTTAGCCTAGAAACCAAGGAGTACATGGTCTTCTTGTGTACCTGAAAATCTCTTCTCTCCCCAGCACACACAAATGTCAAACATATGATGGCAGTGTTTTGCAATGTCAGTGTCAGAGAACAGAACCACTATCTATCTTACAGGGTATTACCAGATAATAGTCATGTTTCAGAGAACACAATTGAATAGATTACCAACCCAAGAAATACTGGGCTTCCTTACATGAGGGTGAGAGTTTTGTAATCTGTCACAGACCATCCTGCCCTCCCCTTCCCACACGGGAGGACACCAATAAGTTGGTGAATTCACACCCACATGCATGCAAAGTACCTTCTCTCCTGGGAAGACCAGTCGATTCTTTCCTAGCATTGCTCGGAACTTGTGAACATAATATGCCTTGAAACAGTCTCTAGAAAACAAAATACAAATGAGTGCCACACAAACTGAAGCAAACTTGTTTACTCTAGTGCACAAGGGTGATGTTGAACCAACTGTGCGCCATGCAGAGTTTCAAGATGGGCCTCTTCAGTCTAGACTGTTCATTTCACAAAGTTCTATCTTCCAAAGTCAGACAGTCCTATTTTCATAAAGCTTTATGCCTAAAGGGCTGAGGTCCTAGAAAGTGGATGTGCCCAGAGCAGAGGTTTCTCTTTGAGATAGTGAAGTCTAGGCTATCCCTAGACTTGAATACCCTGGGACTGTCACTCTTCAGAGGAGCTGATAGCTACCTAAGTTCTCAGGTTGGAGTTGGAGTCGCTCCCCCTTCAGCACAAAGTCCCAATGGCTTCCCAGCTTCCTTCAGTCACAGGCCAAATCCCACCTTCCACAGGAAGCTTTTCCTAGTCCCTTTTAATTCTGTTCATTATTTCCATTTATCCTGTCTATAGCCTGTTTGCACATGACTACTTGTACCAGACTGAGCTCCTTGAGGTCAGGGACTGTCTTTTACCTTTTTTTGTAATCCCAGAGTTTAGTGTTAGTGTTAGTACCTGGCACTGACAAATGCTTATTGAATGACAAATCCATTTTCCCAACAGAGAAAAACCCCCCACAAAGTAGTATAGAGATTCCATGGGAAGAAATTCCATTTCTGTATGGTGCCTAAGTAAAAACAAGGTACCCTTAACAAGGTAGGGTAGGGGGTGTGGTCTATGCACTGACACTATTATTGGGCTGGGTCCAATGTAAACATCTTCCTGGAAACTGAATCAGACTGCTTTAGAGCTCTCTTCCCTTTTCTTCAAGGTATATTCAGATGAACAAGTATGTTAAGACTAGAGATTATTTCCCAAAAAATAAGTGATCAAAAAGACATACAAGTTTTCAAGAGATTTTTAAACTAATAGCAACCATAAGAAAGACTGTTCTGAATACTAATAATAAAGAGAAATGTAAATCAAAATAACTCTGGATTTCACTTCACCACACACAGCAAATTGACAAAATGATAAAAGATGTATGGAAATAGTGAATGCTGGAGAGGTTGTGGGAAGCCAGGCCCACTGATATACTACTGGTGGGCTGTGAACTGGTCTAGTCACTCTGGAAAGCTATTTGGAACTATGTCACCCAAAATGACTACAATGGCCACTCTGACCCAGAGAGCCTCCTGCCAAGCAAAGAGGGCAAAGGAGAAAAGTCCCATATGTATTAAAATATTCATAGCAGCAAATTTAGTGGTTGCAAAGAAATAAAATCGGAAATAAAGTTGGGGTCAACCGGCTATGACTAAACTGTAGAACAAAATGTGAAGGAATACAGTTGATTATTGCACTGAGAAATGTTAAACACCAAGAGTTCAGAGATGCACAAGCAGAATGATATGAACAGATTCACAGGGAGGCAAGAAGAACCAGAGGCACCGTAACAGTTGTGACAAATCTCAGACTCAAAAAAGTATCTCCCTTCCTTCACTGTGGAGAGGCTAATGTAAAATAGTATCAGACAAGCTTGATGTGCTGGTTAGTTTTACTGAACTGTTTTTTCTCTTTTTTAAATAACCTTTGTAAGGAAGGATGGCTCTATGGGTGTCAGAAGGTGATGGAAAAACAAAGCCATCAACACAAAATTTTAAAAAGAAAAACATCTATTTAAATGTGTCCCACAATAGTCCTCTGTCTCAAGCTAGGCTTATAGGTAGGAAATTACCAAATTTCACTGGTAGAAAACTACCCAGCTGCCTTATTGTAAAGTCACATGAGCTCCAGATTTTGCTGCCTCGGTGCTGGGGATGGCTCCATTTCCCATCTTTTAGCTGATTAGGGCCAAGACCCTAATCTCTCTGAGCTGTAACCATCATCTGTGAAATGGGGATAACCATCTTTAAGTCATCTACCTCAAAGGGTTGTTGTACAGAAAGCAACATAAAAATGTGAGTACTGATGAGTCTGTGATCTCATCAACTCAGGAGCTGCCTCCAGTGATGCAGATAGAGCACACTCCTCATGCTTACCCATCCTCTGGGTGGGATGTTCTCCTCAAAGTTCACCACTAGGGGGCCACCAAATGCAAAAAAGGCCTTCCTCCCCACTTTAAGCCACCACTAGGATACCAGTGGAGTAAGCCGATTGTCTCTCTAGTCATCCCTACACCTTGCCACATGACCATACAATTCTTTGAATTTCTTTCCTCCCAGAGTAAAGGACTTCCCTGGGAAGGAAGAACTTCCAACAGCTCTTCCTTGGACTTCCTCACCAGTTACATGTTGCAATCTTCCCAAACTACCATGAACCAATCCACTGCCCAATGTGGGATATTCATCTTAGCTCTTCCAAGTCAGCAGTCCTCCACACACAGTGCTTGGCACAGAGCAGACACTGAATAAATGCCTGCTGATGGATTAATTACATATGGCAACATGAGTAAAATGTTAGAATTGAAAAGATGGGTCTTTGTTTTTCGGGAAGCTTGGAGTCAGTAGAAGAGGTTTACATTTATTTTTATTATCGATTAATTCTATAAATTGACTTAAATTTGTCACCAGTTTCAGATAATTTAATTAATGATTATTTTTATGTTCCATTTAATGATTAATCACTAATTGGTCTCTAAATGTTCTAAAATTCTATAAGTTTTAAGATGTTTAGTGAAGAAATATATCTCATTCTCCAGATTTACTGTCCATCTCTAATACAGCTGGGGGCTGGAAAAAAGGATTTTTTTTAAACTATGTCAACTTAGTTGCACTAATCTTTTTATGGGTTGTTCTAGCAAGCAAAGAGCACGATTTCTGCATTCCAGCTTCAAAAACCTGACTCATCAGAGAGTTCCAGACCTAAAAATAATTTCTAATGCCCATGCATAACCCTACGAACATGCCTTTCACCTCAACAATTCCTCTGCCGCCAGGGACGCCTTTGAAAAATTGGCACAACTCTCATAGAATGGGTATGATCCTTTGACACAAATACTTCCCCTGGGACACTGTCCACCCACAGATCATTGACCAGCTCCAAGACCTCTGGCCCAGTGTTTCTCAAAAGCCAGTTGCAAACTTTCCCTGATCCATAAAAGTTTACCTACAAAAAACCTTTATTTTTTAAAAATCTTAAAAACCTCACTCCTTTCCATATTCTGTTGTTGAGGTTTAGATGTTAGGGGTGCTGGGACCCCAAAATCACGACACGCCGGTCCTGCCTAAAAGAATTTGGCCCAAGTCTTCTTTTAGCCAAAGATAAGGTTTATTAGAATATCTGCCATATTGGCCAGACTCTTAAGGAATCTGAACATTAGTGAGCTATGAGCTAGATTATAAGAATCTCAGCATTTGGCTAGATTTTAAGAATCTGAGCACTTTAATGGAGACAAAATAAATCTTATACACAGAAAGACTGTGGGAGCGATCCAGGAGTGGCCAAGTAGTCTGGAGGGCCTGGAGGAGGGGTCTAAGGAGGATCTAGATGGAAGTGGCCAGTAAACTGGGGTGGATAGAAGCCCAGGACCTGGACCACATGGCCAAGGGAGAATAGAGTCTAGATAGGATTAAGGGTGGGAAGTGGCCAGGGGCAATCAGGAGGTAACAGAAAGGAATTGGGAGATTGGGTGTAGCCACAGTGAAAGGCCAATAGCCTCAGGTAAACACCAGAGATTCTGAAAAAGTCCAGGGATTTTCTTTTTTGGGGTCCTGATCCCAAAGACATGGTCTTTTCCTTTTAGGGGTTCAGATCCCATCCCCATCATTGTTTCTCCTACCTCTGGCTCTGGGTCCAAGCTGAGAGATGCTGAGCTGAAACTACAGAGGGTGGGTTACTCTTGATTAAGTATCCATTCATTCATTTTACAGAATGGTTTTTGTTGGTAAGTAACACTGCTGGCCTACCATTGATATTTCCCACCTGCTCCTGTCTGGTTGGTAACAACCTTCTCCTCAGACCTAACATAGCACTTTGTCCTCCAACTTTCCGACCCACTTATCATGTAATACTATGTACTATGGCTAATGGTGCAGTCACTACACGAAATCCAAGTGATCGACAAACTTACGAAAATATTCCAAATCACAAATAATAAAACAAATGCAAATGAACACCACTTGGAAGTTCCCTCTCTCACACATCAGACTGGTAAAGAGGACAAAAGAAGAAACAGCAATGGCTAGAGGGCTTGTGGGAAGGCAGGCTCTGTGGCCTGAAGGACAGAAACAGTGAAATGGTCATCCAGGAAAGCCTCCAGGAAGGTCATCTACCCAGGCACATCCATGACCTCCTGACACTGCTATTGGGCATGTACCCTACAGGGCCAGAGGACACAGGGCAAAGGCCCATGGGTACAAACATACAGCAAAGAACTGGACACAAAAGACAGGCCTGTCAACTAGGGACAGCTGAACAAACTGTGGCATATGAACATAACAGAGTCTTATTCTGATATAAAAAACGAATAGGACAGATTCAGAGAAACATGAAAAGACTTGTGTAAACAGATGCAGAATGAAATAAACAGAACCAGAAGAACAATTTGTGTGATAACCCTGAGAGTGATATGAGGGTTAGGGCTAGGGTTACTCTGATGAAACCAGCAACCAATCGTGGCTCAAAAGACTGACGATGAAATATGAACTGCTAATTCCTTGCAGACAGGTGACAGAGCAGAGGCACAGAATAAAATGTGCATGTGATTTCTTTTGGGTGACTACCCATGTTTCTCACAAGGGAGAGTTTTTACTTAGTGAGGAGAGTGGGAAGTGAGTTAGGGGGTGGTAATAGAGACATGAAAAATCAAGAATACTAATAAGACATTTTTAAAAATGCACAGAAGGGGATGCAGAGAAATCCTGTTAACTATCTTATTAAACCACCCCCCCCAAAAAAAACATGTAATCCAAGTTCAGTTTCTCTTATGATCCTTTTTTTCTATTCTCCTTTGTATCTTGATACATTCCTGTTTGTCAATGATTAAGTTCACAAGACAAAATAATAAAATTTCAAAATAAAGAAAAGTGCTAGATTTAGAATCCAGGGACCTAAACCCCAATACTGGCCTCAGTTTCCTCATCTGTTATACTAGCAGGCAGGCCTAGAGGTTCTCAGAGTTCCCCTCTAAAATTGTTCCTAGGATCAGCACTGTGCTCTTTAGGTGCTAATTAAATATCTGTTGAATTAAAAAGGTAAATGCTTCCGAATCTTTATCCCAGGACACACTTACTCCCCAATAGGCAGCTCCATTAGGGCTCTCCCCTGAGGCCAGGGCATTGTCATTTTATCACTATCAGGACTCCTTCCCTTTTAATACCATCTGCAAGATTTCCCTCCAGTCCATCCTCAGGTTACTGAGATTTTGTTCTTATTTAACAGTGGAATTAATAAGCAAAAAAAAAAAAAGAAAGAAAGAGTCAATGCTGCCTCCTTTATGGCTATATAGAGAACAGGAAAACCAGCAGTAGTGAAAAGGCAGGTATTAATAACTGTTATCTTAGAAGTCAGCTTGCCATACACAAAAAAGAAACTTCAGTTCAAAAAAGAGCCTCAGTGGCAAGGCACCACATACTCACTTGCAGAAAGCGTCTCCAGCGCGGATGATTAAGACTGGCAAACCCTCCTTGCACTTCATACATTTCTGTTCACAGCTTAAACAAAGAAAAGGAAAAGAACATGCTTCTGAAGGTGGCATGACTATGGTTAGAAGTAAATGTGCGAAGATTCGATGAGACTCCAATTCAATCCTGTGGCTTCACAGGGTCATCAGTAGTGGCAAGGAATGGAAAAAGCATCATCCCTGCAGGCAGGACACTTGGCTTTAACCCAGGCTTAGACGTTTACAGAGACAACGGGCAACTGAACTCACCATTCCTCTGGGAAATGGGAAAAACCTGCCCCATTCATTTCTCACTGAGTTGTAGTAAAGCTTCCAAGTTGCCATGATTATGTTCTGAGGCTCCTTACCATCTCACTATGTTGTTCTTCCTTTCAAGAGTAGCTAGGATGGTGGGGTAGAAACACTGATGGGCTGGAGGAGGCAAGTCCCTGACTAATTAGCTGTGCGACCCCTGGCTAGGCTACATCCTCTCTGAGCCAACTTCCTCATCTCTAAAATGGAAATAATAAGATCAGAACCAAGAGTCTACGCAGAGTTGACTACAGCACAGAAAAAAATCATTCAAGATGTTAAATTCTGAGTACTCAAAAAGCCAACGAAGGTCTCAAAGATTTGAAAGCAATCTTCAGCCACAGGTCCTGAGCTGACGACCAGGCCCAAATCCTGTCTACATAGTCACTGAATCAGAAATGCTTGCGTGATTTTTTTTTAAGTCACAAAAGAGAATTCAATAGGGGCTGGGAGAATTAAATGGCAAAGAAATAAAGACAGAAGCCGTAATAAAAATAGGGATACTAATAGCTATCTGCCTTATAAAATATGTAGTAGAACATGAGACAATATTTATAATGGCCCACGAGATACAAAAGTGAGCTATTATTTCTTATCCTTATTAATTCAAGGGTTAGTGTGATTGACACATTTCATTAAGGAAATGTCCAAGGAGCCGGGCTATTGGGTCATTCTTCATCTTTGTCCAGTGTCTTACAAATAGCAGGCACCAGATAAATGTCTCTTGAATTGTTGCAGAAACTCAGAAAACTAGTGCCTCTTAACAAGCCCAGAACACAGAAAGGCACAAGACAGAGAAATACTTTGGCCCCAAAGAAACTGTGCGTGGGCCTGGTGGAGCACTGCAGACCTCACTAGTCCACCAACCCAGCCCATGAGCTGAAGGTCACCCAACAGGCGCAGAGGTGCAGTCCTGGGTGTCAGTATGGAGGAACACATGCAGGCAGTGTGTCATCTATCATTGAGAATCTGGCTGTGCCAGGAAGGAGGGGCTAATCCATTACCTTCATTTTACAGAAAGAAACAGGCCCCAAGAAGCCAAGAGCCCCTTTGGTTCCTGTCTCTCCCCTATCAATTCAAGAGAGGATTATTTCTTAAGTGTCATAGCAGAGTGGAAAGAGCTTTGATTTGGAGTGAGAGGACCTGGCTCTGCTCCCTAGGTGAACCTGGGCAAATCACTTCCTTTCTGTGAGCCTCAGTTTCCTCATCTGCAAAATGAGGAGACTGGACTATATCCAAAGCAATCCACTTGAACTAGATGTGTTGGAGAGTCTGGTGAAGCCCAGGGACCCTTCTCAGAATAATGTTTTAGAAACATAAAGCACAAAATACAGAGGATTACAAAGGAAATCAATTATACGGGAAGAGTTATCAAAAGATTCACAAGTTCACAGATCCCCTGAAATCTACCCACAAGTCCAGGTTAAGAACCCCTGGCCTAGATGATTTTTTTGAGTTTGTCTCCCACCCTCTACCTTTTTAATTTCTAAAGGGGTCTGGAATCCTCAAACGGGATGGGAATGTGAGCTGGAATTCAAACCCAAGTCCTGATTCCAAGTGCCCCCATCTTTCTACTTGACTGCTACCTTTATGACTCTGGTTGCAGGAATCTCCCATTCATAGTAACTTACATTACCCAGCACTTTTTGAGGTCTGAACACCAATAACCAGACTCCCAGCAAGAGGGTCATATGTACAGTAAATGGCAAAAGTCCAGGAGCTCGATCCCTGGCTCAGTCCTCCTCTGCCTCCAGACCCCAGCCTTCATCATCTGGGTGCTTTTTACCTACAGTGAAGCCCTTGAGAGCACTAGGACTTCCCGTTCATCAACCTCCATAATTCCCCAATTCTCATCCCACCATCACCAGGGGCAGAGGAGGTCACACCTGAGAACTCACCGTCACCCAAGATTATCCAAGATCCTGACGTCTGAAATCCCCTCTCCTAATTAGAGCCTCTCAGTCCCCCTTTCTCTGCCGCAGTCCTCCAGATCCTCTTCTGTGGCCTCACCGCCACCCCACCTGATGAATCTAATTCTCTTAAAGCATTATCCTCTAACGTTCCTCTCCTCAGTCTTGACAGGAGGTGACCGGATCAAGTTTAGAGTGTCCTCTATCTCGGAATCCCTTGGCCCAGGCCCTAGGCTCCATGGCTTGGCAAACTCCACTCCTGGGTTTCCATTCCCAGGCCCTTTTTCTGCTATACTTAGGTTGTTCAACACTTCTGGGGGGATAGGGGCTGGACCTGTAATTTCATCAGAAGACAGTCCCTTCTCTGCTACTTGAGGTGAAGTGACTTGCCCAGGGTCACACAGATAGTTCTCTATCCACTCTGCCAGCCTGCCTCACTTAACACTGCTGGAGAAAGTCATATAACGGGGTGGATGGGCTCTACAGCAAGTCGGCACTCTGCAGTGTCCACGTGGCCGTCACAGACGCACTGGGATCCTCTCATGCCTTCCCGCGGCTGTTCCCCTCCACCACCCTGCCTTCCAGCACAGCACCGTACTCTCTATTCCCTCCTCCTCTGCTACGTGATCCCCCAAACTATTCTCCCCTCTTAGTTTCATGGTCAAGCTCAGAGTAGACATTTAGACTTTTTGCCTCTACTTCCTCAGATCCCATTTACTTCTCAATGCCTTGCAATCTGGCTTCTCATTCCATTACTCTACTGCTCTTTCCAAGTTTACCCATTAATTAATTGCTAAAACCCATGTCCTTTCCTCAGTTCTCATATACTTGGCCTCTGGGGCTTCTGACACTCCAGACTCAGTATCTTCCTGGACAAAATAAACCTCCTTTGGGTTCAGGAGCACTGCATGCTTTATTTTCCCATGGTCTGGCTCCTTAAATCTCCTGGGATGGATCTTCATTTGCCTTCCACCCCACTCTGGGAAGGTGGCCCTGAAAGCTCTACGCTGGTCCTTTCCTCCGTGCTTTCTACGCACTATCCCTTGGCAAATCCAAAGAGGTTGCCCGAATCTCTGTCAAACTCCAGCCCCATGTAAAATGACATCAAAAAGCATTTATTACGTGCTCATATAAACAGAAAACTCAGATAGTCCTTGCTCTGACAGAGCTCAAATTCTTGCTAGAGACAAAACGGATCTACTGCAGAGTTCAGCTCTATGGAATACATGGCAAGGACTAACGGTGCTTGGTATGCAACAGAAATGCCTGTGGTGTGGAAGGTGCATCAGGAGGGCTGGTAGAGCCAGCAGACACTTAAGGAAGGCCTGCTGGTGTTCCATCTTACTAGAAGAATGGCATTTGGTGGCTCCCTGTTCACTGAAGTGATGGGAAGAGATGAGCTTACTGTCTCACAGTCAGGGCCCTGAGAGCATGGGGATCTCAGCAAGAGTAAGGCAGGGGCAATGGAGCCTGAGCAGCCCTGCTCTCAAGCACTCAGGGGCCATTAACAGTATAGAATCAATAGATTTAGATATATCGTTATCTCCATTTGGATATCCTACTTGTGTCTCAAAGTCAACTTATACACAGTAAAATTCATTATCTTCACTACCAAGCTCACCTCTCCTCCAATGTCCATATTTCTGTGGAGGCACCATGGCTCTCCAATTCTGTCTGCACAATATTTCTTCTCTTCTACCCTCAAATTAAATCCTCCCCCCCCACCCTTAACAAGGGGCCTTTCTGCATACCTTCAGAAGCCTAGGACCCCAAATTGTGGTTTATCGTACAATATTCTGCATTCCTATGCAAGTGCAAATGGTCTCTCCAGGTCAAATAATAAGGTGGTTCTCAGTCTGCCTGAGTCTTGGGATCCATAGGTTTTAGAATCAAAGTCAATCACAAAGCAAGGTACTTGAAGAATAGTTGATAGCTTCTGGGATTTCCAGGTCCTTCTCTTCCACCCCACCCCTAGTTGTAAGTACTCTTAATTGCAGGCACATCCTGGAGATTTTTCAAGTGTGGTTCAAAATCACCACAATAAAGAGAAAATCTGCAAGAAAGAGAGTCAACTTTTTTGGTTTAATAGTGCAGATAAACACTATGTTTACATAATACTGTAGTCAATTAAGTGGACCTTACAATTATGTCTAAAAACCCAATGTACACACCTTAATTTAAAAAGACTTTATAGCTAAAAAATGCATCATCTATGCCTTCAGCAAGTCTTAACCTCTGCTGGTAGAAGGTCTTGTCTCTATGTACACCAAAGATCAGGGTAGTGACTGCTGGAGTTTGGGTTGGGGTGGCAGCGGCAATTTCTTAAAATAACAAGACAAAGATCTCTGCCACACTGATTTTTTCGTTTCACCTGAACACTTAGAGGTCATTGTAGGGTTATTAATTGGCCTAATTTCAATACTGTTGTATCTGGGAATAGGGAGACCCAAGGAGTAGATGGGGGGGGGGGAATCCTGCTGGTTGGTGGAGCAGTCAGAGCACACACATTTATTGATTAGGTTTGTGCATGTGGCACCCCAAAACCATTACAATTGTAAGATCAAAGCTCACTGATCACAGATCACCATAACAGACATAATAATAATGATGGAAAAGTTTTACATATTGTGAGAATTCCTAAAATGTGACACAGAGCCATGATGTGGAGTACATGCTATTGTTGGAAAAATGGTGCTACAGACTTGCTCAATGAAAGGTTGCCACAAACCTTTGATTTGTAAAAAACATCTGTGAAGCTCAATGAAGTGAGATATGCTCCTATTTCATATATTTTTATATATTTATGCATATTTTATATGCCCCCTATTTTACTTATCACATGACCTCAGTGGCATCCCACATACACCAGACAGGAATCTCTGAGGACAGGGTCTGTAGGTGCTCAAATCAAACTGCTCAATGTTGCCTTCTACCCAGGGAGTTTCCTGTTCTTACTTTCTCAGGGATTAATCATCACTGTAGCAACTTCTGAGATGGAAGGAAAGAGTTCAGAGATGGTGAGGCATCCTTGAGATCGACTGGGACCCTCTGAGAGGGAAAGGGACTTGTTCATACAAATAGCTTTAAAAGATTCTTTAAAAGTGTTTGCATTTAGAGAGTGTAAACTAAGAAACTTATAACTAAGAAGCTGCAATCCCTCAAGCAACTCTTCCTCCAACGCCTCCAGTTAAATTAGTGGGAAAACACAGAGAGGAATCCGTCTCTTTTCTAGCTCAGATCGCTCTCCAATAGCCTATGCTATTTATTACTATTTTATTATTTATTACTTTTAACTTGAAAGATTGTGAGTTCGAAGGGACGTAGCCCACCCAGACCTGGCCCTGGGGGACAAAGAACCCCAGAGGAGGCAGAGAATGGAAATGACGTTTCCCAAGTTCTGCAGGAACATTCAAACCCATTTCTTTCCCTCTCACAGTGGAAAGGGCCCTGGATTTGGAGTCAGAAATAGCAAAGCTAGATCTGGGTAGAGTGGAAAGACTTGGCGGTGGGATCCCAAGACCTGGGTTCAAATTCCGCCTACTCGTGTGCCTCTGACAAGTTACTCGCCCTTCCCGGGTCCGTTTCCCCATTTCAGGGCTGTTTTTTGCCTCGCTTTGCATCCCCAGCGCTAAGCACCACGCTTGGCATACAGCATGCACTTAATAAATACTTCTAGCTTCTAAGATGGAGGTGGGCGGGGGAGGGGGACTGGGCAGGGCGGCCCCCGAGGTCCCTCACGCTGAAGGGGCGGGGGCGGGCCCGGGACCATCCTTCCTCTGCCCCGGCCCCTCCCCGCCCAGCCTCAGGGGCTCGGCCTGGGGCGGGGGGGGGGTTCCTTTTCCTTATGGGGGGGCGGCACCTCCCCACCCGCGTCCGGCCCCCGTCTTACCCGCGCCAGGGCAGCTTCGGCTGGAGCTCCGCCGGTCCGGGCCCCCCGTAGTCCTCGCCCACCTGACACATGGCTCCTGCCGGGCCCAAAGGCTCCGTAGGATCCCAGCAACCGGCTCGCGGACGGGGCGGCGTGCGCCGATGACGTCACCGCGGGGCCGGTCGCGGGGTGATGACGCACGGCACCCCGTCGCCGTGAGATGACTTAGGACGCGCGGGGCGGGGCGGGCTGGAGCCGGAGACCCGGCCCGGGACCGAGACGGAGTCGGAGCTCAAGCCCGAGCGGCGGACGGGGAGCGAGCGGTGCCGGCGTGCCGGGGCCGGCGGGCAGGGGCGGGCCGGGCCCCGCGATGGCCATGTTCCGCAGCCTGGTGGCGTCGGCGCAGCAGCGGCAGCACCCCCCGGCCGGAGCCCCCGCCAGCGCCCCGCAGCCCCCGGCCGGGCCCGGCGCCGGCGGCGAGAGCGGCCTGGAGGCCCAGTACAGCTGCCCCATCTGCCTGGAGGTCTACCACCGGCCCGTGGCCATCGGCAGCTGCGGACACACGTGAGGCCCGGGCGGGGGCGGCGGGGCCTCAGTTTCCCCATCCGTAAAACGGGAGGCGGCGGTAAAAAGCCGCCCCCCTGCCCTCCCTTTTCCTCTCGGCGCTGTCGGGAGGAGGACGCTTTGTCCACCCCGGCTTGGGCCGAAAAGCGAGTTGTAGCAGAGCCAGCGCCGGTAGTAGTCGTTGTCTATACTCTTTGTCCCTCCTGGGGGGTTGCCGGGGAGGAGGCGGGGCTCTGCAGGAGAAAGAGGAGGAAGCTGGGGGGGTTAGCCCCCCTGCTCTGCAGAAGGGGGGGTGTCCCTTGTCTGGCTGTAACACCCCCTTTCCCTGCAGATGGAGAATTCACGGGGAGGGGGCCCTTGTCTGGCTGCAAACTCCCCGACCCTGCAGGAGGGTTCACTGGCGGTGGTCCTCCTTAGTTTGTTTCCCCCAAAGAGCTCCGTTCGTAGAAGTCTTTGCCAGACCAACCCGAGTGGAAGAGCAGGGGTTTGGGGGTGGTTTTCCTTGTGTAGCGGTGGAGGATCCCCGTGGGTGTTATGGGGCCGCCCCCTTCCTTCCACCAGCTACGACTTGTGGCTTCCCTCTTCCCTGTTTCCGGAGTTCGCAGTGTGATCAGGGAGACAGCGTGCAAACGACTCTGTGCAAACAAGATGTAGGCAGGATAACCGGGAGGTGATAATATTCCAGGGAGGATTGAGATGCACATGCCCCGTGCACGGGAAAGAGCGCCGGGCTTGGGGGTCAGAGGACCTGCTTCTGCCACTGTGTGACCTTGAGCAAGTTTATTTCCCTTTCAGTACTTCAGTTTGCTCATGTGGAAAATGGAAAAGGTTGGACAAGCTGACCCCCTGGGCTCCTTCCGGGTCTCAGTCTTTGATGCTTAGATAAGGGGTGAAGAGTGTGACGCCTCCTCCCAGCAGCCGCAGCAGCTACTTAATGCCTAAGGAGGAGAGATGATGCTTCCTCTGTTGCCTTGCACCAGGCCGGGTTTGAAAACAAAGGAGGCAGCCTGAGTTTTCCCTGGCTCTCGGCTGTTTGCGGCAGTGGGTGTGTGGCTGCCACTCAGGCGGAGGAAGGCGGCTGCAGTGGGGACGGTGCTCCCGAGCCTTCGGCTCCCCTCCTCATAGCCTTTGGCGGGGGGCAGCCAAGGTGCCCTCCCACATAGATGCTCCGACTTAGCCTTCAGTGGTGCGGGGATCATCTTGGCTCACACCCTCAGAAGCAACTGCATTACTTTTAAATATAGTGTTTTCTCCATATGGTACTGCCGAAGTCTAGAAATCCTTGGGGGAAGAACTTTGTTGTAGCTTGTTCTGATCCTATATTTAGAGCCTGCTCAGTGTGATTCCATGTGATTTGACTTTGCTTGTTATGAGCTCCCAGTTCTGTTTCTACTTTAAAGAGGTACTATGTGTAGAAAAATTTTCTTACTGATAAAAGTCGATGAATTTCCAATCTCTTCTGCTGCCTAATACAAATTAAGCCATCTTTTGGGGTAGGGGAGAGTAACTCTGGATCCTGTAGAATATCAAGCTATAGAGATCTACCTCCTATGAAACTTTATTTCCATTCAGCTCTCCAGAATAGATTTCTTTGGCCACACAGGTTCATAGTCCTAATATAAGGTATTGCTCACCCCTAGCTCCTTCCCCAGAGCTTTGTAGTTAGTTTTTCTAGGGACCCATGCCTTTTATTAAGTGCTGTTTTGTTTTATTTTGTTTAATCTCTACAGCACCTTGCTCAGACAAGCACAAAAGATATAATGAGTCACAAAATCCTTCTATGCTCTCCTTATCTTGAATGGCTCCTGCTAGGTCAGTTGCAGCTTCCTTGGGCATTTTGTCTGCTCCATTCCCATAAATCTCTTGGCTTCCACAAAGTAGATTTCTTTTTGTTAGGGAATGGTACTGGATTGACCACTCTTAGGGTTAGCTACCCTAAGGCTATATCTATATTCCCATCTCTAGCACCCTGTTGGAGGCAGCTAGGTGGCTCACTGGTGAGACTTCTGACCTTGGAGTCAGGAAGACTCGAATTCAAATGTGGCCTCAGATACTTAGCTGTGTGACCCTGAGCAAGTGACTTAACCTATTTGCTTAATCCACTGAGAAGGACATGGCAGACTACTCCAGTGTCTCTGCCATGCCCACTAACTGGTTGGTGGACACAGATGCCCCCAGCTGATAGTCTCACATGGTCTTTGGGTGAATCTGAATCTCACTTGTAGAGAGATTGTCACCACTGACTCAGAACCAAAGCCCCATACCTGATTTCTAACCCTCAGATTAATCCCAGTAATGTCTGGTTTGGTGGCTAGAGCAGGCAGCTTTTGCAGGGGGTCAAGTGTTTGGGCTTTTATATCACTCTCTTCCCACTTCTCCCCACCTTTTGCAGCCTTTTGCTCCTTCGTCAGATGTCATATTACTCTGGCATCTGAATATGCCCAGTCCCAATTATTAGTAAAAGTAGAGCTATAAGGGAACTCCGTGAAAATATCCACGTTTGGAGGGGCCTTCAAGAGTCCAGGTATTTCACAAACTTGCTGGCATCTGGCCCTCCCAACATCAGCAAGCATCCCAGAGACTCCAAGGAAATTATAGGAGAGTAAGCAGATGTTTGTGTATGCTATTATCCATGACTGAAGAGCTGAGGGAGACGTTTGGAGACCTGTAGGTGGCATTAAATTCTGAAGAGAGCAAAGAGGGGAGGAGGAAGAGGTGTGGGTTTTAGCCAGCCCTCTGTACAAGTCACGGCTCTAGGCTGGGCTTGTGTTTTCTCAGTTAATTAGGGGGCTGGCCCTGTGATCTGGATCTGTGAGTCTGGGATCCCTCCAGGGCTGCTGGGCACATTCCAGGCCATCTCCACACCGTTACCAACCTCATCACCCTTCCAGGCTTCCAGTGCACCTCCAGGCCAGCTCCACCCATGCCTAGGCTCCTGGGCCCCACTCCCCTCCCCCGTACATAGTTTGCCCCATTGGATTGTGAGGGTCTTGAGGACCAGGACTGTCTTGCTTGCTTCTGATTGTATCTTCAGTACTTAGCACAGTGCCTGGCACATGGTGCTTTAACTGGCTGTCTTGTCATCAAACATTAACTGAAATAGTTAGCGATCTAATGACCCTGGCAAAACCTAGACTGTACCCTCAGCATTTGGTGGGTGCCGGGGGAGGGGGGGCATCTTTCCTCTTGGTCAGGATCAGTCCTTTCCAGGGTAGGGTCACTGGCATTGCACAGTAATGAACCCTCAGGCAGAGTCTTCTCCCAGGTCTCCCTGCTGCCCAGCCAACCAGCCAGAGAGGGAGACATCACCTGGGGGGAGGGAGGGGGGAGTGAGCTAGCTCACAGTGAAAGGAAGGCCCTGGTAGCAGATTTGACCCATTTTGGGTGGTTAATTGAGGTGAGTCATGTGGGCTTGAGTATTAATTACCCTCTCCACCCTGGGAAAGGCTCTGAGGTCAGTGCTCGGCTGGGGGCAGCTACACCTACCTGGACAGCCTGAGGCAACAGGAAATGTCTTGCCCCCAGGCTTTTGCACTCTTGGGTTACCTTTAATCTAGGATAACCCTCCCCATCCCAGAGCAAGCCCTGAGTAGTTGGCAAAGATTCTTAAATTTGCGAGTTCTGTGAGTTAGGTGGTGCAAATATATATCATCAGCCCTATTTACTAATAAGGAAACTGACCATTCCAGGGTAAAGCCCCTTGCCCTTCAGTGCACAGCTCCTAAGTGCCTAAAGCAGGATTTGAGCCTGGATCTATTCACTCCAGCACTTTGTGCACTTGGGCTACATGTTACAATCTTGAGAATATTCCATCTTATTGCTCTCTGGGAGAGTGGCCCCTGGTTGTGAAGCCCCCTCCTGGATTCTCTGGGCCTTCTGCTCATTCTGGCCCAGGGCTTGGTCCCCTCTTGGCCTCTTCTACCAGAGCCTAACCTGATCCCCCACTCAGATGATTAATACAGCCCAAGAAGCCGCTTATCACCAGGACCCGGGCGAGTTCTGGCGGGAATTTGTAATATAATAGGCCAGCATCACTACGTGATTGTATGCTCTTGGATCTGAAAACATCAAGGTGACAGTGCCTGAAACCTGGATCAGGAGCCAGGAGACGTGAACACCCACAGCTTGGACGCTTTGTTCTGCTGCCTCGCTCCTGAGGGAATCTCACATGTTGAAGTAGCTGTCAGTGGGAGGCAGATCTGCCAGCCCGTTGGAGATCCCTGAGGCCTCTTCCCCCCACCCCCCCATCCCTCTGAAATAAGAGAATTGAATTGGTTTTGATTCTTAGCCTTGTACAGTTTGAGGTAATATTTCTAAAGTGCTTAGCACAGTCTCTGGCACGTGGTGGGTGAGATATAATTGCTTATTCCTTTCCCCTAATTTATAAATGGCCTGAGCGAACTTCAGACTTTGACCTTTTTAAGGCCAATTGCATGATTTTCTTCCTCTAAAATAAATGGCCTTGACTGGCTGAAAGCTAGGCCTGGTTTCTCTCTATTCCTCTTTTTTGGATTGAGCAGTGGTTCCACTTATGTTTTGTTCACCATAAATGACTGGTTTTGGCTGGCCAGCTAGCGTGGTGGAGGGGGGAGGGCCTTCCCTTGGCGAAGGTAATTGGGCCAGCCCTGGGCCTAGCCGCTGGAGCTTGGGAAGGGGAATGAGGCTTCTTTGTGGCACTTTGGAGGGGGGGTGCCGTGTGCCATGTGCACACTCCCACGATCACATCTCCCCTGCAGTGCCTCACCTCACCTCCTGAAGTAAGTGACAAGTGGTGTCACCCCCAAGCCTGCGAGCTTTGCCCTGTGAAAATAACAACTATTCCTTCTCTGAGTGATGAACATGCTTCTATAGAGTGGGAAGTATTTGTAAATACCAGCTGGAGGGGTGTATGTGTGAAAAAGTAGGGAGGAGAGAAGAGTGGAGAAGCCTGACTTTTGGAAACCCAGAGTCCATGCAAAAGCCTTCCAAAGCAAGGTCCAGTTGCCTGGCAGTTACAAGCCTCTGGCCCTAGCCCTCTTTTGCTATCTCGGTGACCTAGCAGCAGGCCCCAGCAGTGCAAAAGCATGCAGGTGCCCTTAGAGAGATTATAGTTGTGCCAAAGAAGACTCGCTGATGAATTAGGTTCCCAAGTCCAAACAGAGGCTGCCTCTCAGCACTGCCTCCTGCTTAGAAAGAGCCAGCGGTGCCCGGAACTACAGCTTGTTCTTGTTTGCCATCTGGAGACCAGCTTTTCCTTCTGTGTGGACTGAGAGGAGGCTTCACATCACTGCTTCCTCCCCGCAGCCCTCAGTAGACCTCATGGCAGAATAGCCCACCAACTAATTAAAGACAGTATTTGATCTTAATCTTCTATTATCACCTTCTCCCAAGCCTCATGCCCCACTTTCCCTAACTAACCCCATGTTTAGAGCTAGGTGCATATTAATGTTGCCTCCATCCTGCAGGGCCTACAGAACTTGGAGATTTTATCTCCCTCTGGCATTTGCTAAAGTCTTAAAAGAGTGAGAGAATGAGGTGATTTGAGGCACTGCAGTCTTGTGTTGTAGACCCTTCATTCTTCCCCTCTCCTCCTTTGTGGTTTCAAATTAAAAATCCCTGCTGGGATTTCTCTGGTGGAGCCTTTCTTGAGGGTGGGGAGGGGTCAGATCCATTCTGACCCTTGCTCCATGATTAGATATTCCTGGGAATTGTTGAAGAAAAAGCTATCCTGGATATCCATGTCCTTGGGAAGGAAGGAATATTTAGGGGGAGAAGCAAGGGAGGTGGACAGAGGTAGGAGAGGCTGGAGATCTTTCTAGTTGGTTGGGGTTTTTTTTTTTGACCTGATTATGCGGTGACATGAATGGCTTAGGTGGCCTACCACTTTGTTCCCCAGTTTGGGCCGCACCCCACATGTTGGGAGAACTCGAGGGTATTAGTGCTAGATGAGACTTCAACTATCTAATCTAGTCCTCTTATTTCCTAGAGAAAGAAACCAAGATGAAGTGACTTCATGGCCACACAATTAATAATAATAATTGATGTTTATGGAGCATTTTAAGGTTTGCAAAACACTTTCTGTAGCTTGACCTTAAGGCTGACCTTGGTTAGCAACAGCTTTTCTAAGATGGGTACTACAGGTAAGGTATGATCATCTCCATTTTATTGATGAGGAAGCTTGTTTCTTAGCAAGGTCACATGTTTGCCTGTGGTCACACAGTAATTGTCAATGGTATTTAATCCATCTTCTGACAATCCAGTATTTTTTCTACAACTTTGACATGTAGGATTGGTTTTGGAGCTGAGGAGGCCAGGTAGGCTGGCCTCTGTAGTAAATGTTGACTGCTTAGAAGCAGAGCTGAGACTAGGCCACTGGCTTCCAAACCCTTCATCTAGGGCTCTTTTTATCCAGTGGATCTGACATCTTTGCCCGATGGCTGCGCTGTTTGGGAATAACTTTTCTATGCACAGGGTGAGAACTCTGTCTGAAAGAAAAAAAGGAAGACAGTATACATTCCAAAGCTGAAGGTCTCCTTTCTCCTAATGGTCGTGGGGCATTGGAATATGCTGGATTCTCTCACTTGTTGAGAAAATAAAAATGGCCCCTGGACAGATCCTTGGGGCATCTCGTTGGCACATTTACCCACCCAGAGTACTGTGCTTAGCATTAGAGGGGCTGGAGCTTATTAATGGGGGCAGCTAAGTGGTGCAGTGGATAGAGTAGTGGCCCTAGAGTCTGGCCTGAGTTCAAATCTAGCCTCAGACATTTACTAGTTGTGTGACTGGGCAAGTGACTTGAACCCTGTTTGCCTCTCTTTCCTCATCTGCAAAATGAGCTAGAGAAAGAAATGGCAAACCATTCTGGTATCTCTGCCAAGAAAACCCTGAAAGAGGGACATGAAGTATAGGACATGATTGAAATATCTAAACAACAAAGACTTGCTTATTAACAAGAGCATAATTGATAAGTGCGTTGGAAAAGTGGTTATGGAGTGTGCTGTGTTAGGCATTGGATTAAGCACTGAAGATACAAAGAAAGGTAAAAACCAGTCCTTGCCCTCAAGGAGCTCAGTCTCTAAGGGGGGTTGGCAAACAAGAAATGTGGGGCACAAGTTAGAAGGCATCTCAGTGCCACAGGCCTAGGAAGGGCAGCCTTTGGCTGAGACCAGAAGGAAGCCGGGGAGGGTCAGGGATGAGTCCCAGGAAGGAGATGGTAGGTGTTGTTCTCTAGGAGCAGCAAGCAAAGAGGAGGGAGGAGGATGAAGGTATGAGAAGACTGGAAAGGTAGCCAAGGCTTTGAATGCCAAACCAAGTTCATTGACTAAGGGGCTGACATGGTCAGACCTCAGTTTAAGGAAGACCATTGAGACTGGAGTAGGGAGAGACTGGAAGCCGGCTATTGGCAGCAGTCTGGGTGGGAGGTGATGAGACCCTGTCAGAGGAGAGAAGGGGGCACATGAGAAATGTCATGAAGGCAGGAACAACGGGATTTGGGAACTGTTTGGATATGGGGTGAAAGAGATTGAGGCATCAAAAGTGGCAACCTTCACACTAATAGGGAAGTTAGAGGGGAGGTCTTAGAGGAAAAGCTCATGATGCCATTTGGGATGTGTTGAGCTTAAGGTGAGGTAAAGAGAAAAGTTGGTGAGGGCTGGATAAGTGACCTGAGAATCTTCTGCATAGAGATTTTTATTGAACCTGTGGGAGCTGGAAAATAGTAAAAGGGAGAAGAGAAAAGGGCCCAGGACAGTGTTAGGGGACACCCGCAGTTAGTGGGCATGACCCAGCAAAGGAGACTGACTGAGCAGGAGTAGTCAGACAGGTAGGAGGGAACCAGGAGAGAGCGGAGGGTGAGGAGCAGCGTCAGAGGCTTCAGAGCTCAGGAGGAGTGAGGGCTGACGAAAGGCCAATCAATATGGCGATGAAGAAGGGTCTCACTGGTACCTTTGGAGGCAGCAGTGTGAGTGGAATGATGAGATCAGAAGTCAGACTGCAGAGCTGAGAGTGAGAGGAAAGGAATGCACCAATTGTGGTTGGCTTTGTTATGGAATTTAGTCACAAAAGGGAGAAAATGTGACTATTGGGGATGGATGAACCAAGTGAGGGCTTTTAATAATAGCTAACATTTAAAGAGCACCTACTGTGTGCCAGGCACTGTGCCATGTGCTTTTTCAATTTTATCTCATTAGATACACAAAACAACCCCAGGAGATAGGTGCTGTTTTTGTCCCCATTTTGCAGGTAAGGAAACTGAGGCAAACAGGTTAAATGGCTTGTCTAGGGTCATACAGCTAGTAGGTACCTGAGGCCACATTTGAACTCAGGTCTTCCTGACTCCAAGCCTGGTGCTCTGTTTACTGCGAAACCTCATTGTTCCCATGTTTATAGGCATTAGGGAAACAGCCAGTAGAGAGGGAGAGGTTGACGGTTAGGGAGAGTCTGATAGGCAGTATTTAGGTACTTCAGTGTTGAACTTCTCCTTAGGCCAACATTTCTAAGATTTTTTTTTTGTTCTCAGGACCTAGGAGATAGCTGGATTTTCATGTCTGTTTCTGTCAATTGTGATAATATCATTTTGAAGTATTAAAAATCCAACCTTGCATCCTTAAGTAGCTGGAAAAGGAAGGACTCTTACTAGGTAAACAATGTCTTATTATTAAAATAGGTTTATCCTTATGGACCCTCCGAAAGGGTCTCAGGACCCCCAAGGATCCCACACTCTGAACTGTTGACTTAAGCATTCATAGATAGGTTGGAGAAAATCCCAAGAGAATCTTTACACATTTAGGCAGGTAACAGTCATACTCCTTTTACAGGTGAACCAGATGAGGCCAGTGGGTAAATGTATTTCCCCAAGATCACACAGTCAGTTTGATAATTCAGGCTAAGCCATCCAGAGACATCCCTCTTTGTGCCATCTGCCCAACGAACAGAAATCAATCTTGTCCAGACATCAAGGATAAACACAGAAGGAGCATGGCAGCCTCATTCTTACCTTGTTGTCATCAATGACTAGGTGGGTGAGGGTGGAGATGTATCAGGAGCCACAGCATACCATTTTCGGAGGCCCCGTTGTCTGGCGCTAACAGCCGTTAAGGCCACCTGGGACACACTGTGCAAAGCCTCTTTCCCCTGCTCCCTGAAGGGCTCAGGAGTTGTGTTTCTTTGTAGATTCTGTGGGGAGTGTTTGCAGCCATGTCTCCAGGTGCCATCTCCACTCTGCCCACTCTGCCGAATGCCCTTTGACCCAAAGAAAGTGGACAAAGCCTCCAATGTGGAAAAGCAGCTGTCATCCTACAAGGCTCCTTGCCGGGGCTGCAGCAAGAAGGTAAAGTGTTCAACTTTTGGGAGTGGTGAATGACCTCGCACACTGCTTGAGAGGATTTTGTTTCTGCCTTTGAAGGCATACCTCCCATCATGAGTGGGTGGACTGTCTTTTGTATTGATTTTTGTTTCTCATGAGAAATACTTTTCAGGCTCTACCAAGCCCTTTCCTGTCAAGCTACCTAGAGCTAGTGAATTGTCTTGAATAGGTTAGCCAGGTAACCACCCAGTCTAGAAATCAGTCTGTGACAGTGATTGCTTCAGGAGAACTGGGAGCGAGGGAAGAGAGTCTCATGGAGTCATAGCTGACCTTATGGAGGTAGTGTGTGATTTTGTCCCCATGACTCCCTGGGCTGATGCGATTTCAAATTCCATAATCATCTTTGGGCTAAAAGGGAACAGAACACCATGGAATGGAAGAGCATGTATTAAGCACCTGCTGTGTGCCCAGCACTGTGCTGAAAACTAAGGATACTCATAGAAAAGCAAGCAATCTGTTCTCAAGGAATTCACTCTAATTAAGGGAGACAACAGTTCCAGGGTGAATAGTGAGGCCCGCCATGTTAGCAGAAGGATTGATTGGAGTGGCGATGGGATGAGAGGAAAGGCCGACCTTCTGGTTGAGGGGGGACATCCACTGCATGGGCGCTGTACAGTGGGGGTGAAGAAGGTCCCTGACAAGGGTCTGGGGCCATCCTGCTGTACCCTGGATGGGGGCGGCACTCGGAAAGGAAGAACTAAAAACAGTCAAAACAAGTTAGCCCTATTTTGCATATTTTGCTCAGGTAGTACCTGGCCCTCAGTGCCTTCCATGAGATTAACCTTAAAAAATATTAGGTAGCTCTGTTCCTGACTGCCAGGCATCTGCCCTGACCCAGTCACCCGGGAGCCCAGCTCGTAGCCACTGTTGACTATTTCCTCTCTCTTCCCTCCCACATCTGCTTAGTTGGCTGGGTTTCTATGAATTAAAAAAATTGATTTCTGATTGGTCCCCCTGCTCCTTGGCTCTTCCCTCACCAGTCTTCCAGATAGAGTCGGAATGGTCTTCCTGAGGCTCAGGACTGAGCCGGGTCATCCCCCTACACACAGAGACTTCAGTGACTCCCTGTAGTCTCTACGATAAACTACACGTTCCCTGGCTCTGCCATTTGAGCCTCTCCACTCTGGTTCCGACTTACCTCTAGATTTGCCTCAATTCCTCACCTGACTGATGGGTGTTGCCCACAGACTCTTCTACTGGTATTCCTTGAACTTGGCCTTCCTTGGGCCTCTGCATTCGCATGAACTGTCCCCCACCCTGGAATGCTTGGCTTCTTCTACTATACCTTCCTGGAATCCTCATCTTCCTTCCAGGCTCAGCTCAGGTACCACGTGCACTCTGCAGCCTTCCTTCCTTCCACCCCTCCCCCAACTGGTAGTCCTCTCTGGCTTCTCTTCTTCTTTCTGGGTTTATGTGGGAGCTGCCCCAGAGGAATGTCAGCTCCTTCAGGGAAGCTTCTTTTGTCTGGGTATCCTCAGACAGCCCTTGCCAACTAGGAGGCAATTGGGGTTAAGTGACTTGCCCAGAGTCACACAACTAGTGAGTGTTATGTGTCTGAGGCCAGATTTGAACTCAGGTCCTTTGGCATCCAGGGCTGGTGCTCTATCCACTGCGCCACCTAGCTGCCCCTTTTTAATAACTCCACGTTGGCTTCACCCAAGAGCTTACCTTGAACCTGTATCTATTTTGGGCAGACACAACCTTATCACCTGGTACTGGGTGTATCTGGCAGGATCTCATTTCTTTGTCCTGAAGTTGCCTCAGTCTCATTTTAAGGGGTTGCTTGTTTGGCCTTTCTAAAACCGTCAGTTGTGCTTCTCCATCCCCTCTGTGCTCTGCCTTCATCCAAGCCCTTGATCTTGCTAGCTGCTCTTCCCTGCGCTTGTCCTGGTGTTATCCCCTCTTCCCTGAGAAGAGGCAGTCACCAGAACTGTGGACAGCTCCAAGTTTCCTGCAGGCTTGTGGTTTTTGGCTGGTATGTGAGTACCATGAATCCTGGCTCAGTGGCAGCTCCTGTATACATGAGATCACGTCTTGGTGAATGAATGTAGCACACCAGGCCTTCCACCTCAGTCTGCCCTTTGCTGTCTTTTAGGTGACTCTTGCAAAGATGAGGTCACATATTTCTTCCTGCATGAAGGTCCAAGAGCAGATGGCCAACTGTCCCAAGTTTGTCCCAGTAGTGCCAACATCCCAGCCCATTCCCAGGTAAGCAGCCCCAGACGGGCATTGCCTTTTCCTTCCACGACATGAATCCCTGGGATCCCTGGGGGAGAAAAGGGTGAGGAGGAAGAGGGAGGTGATAGGATCTGCAGGATTAAATTCTTAACCTGATTTTTTGTCTCTTCCTTAAAAACAAGCCTTGAGAGTAGAAAATGTATCTTGACTGGGAGCCGTAGTCTGCCCATCTTTATGTGGGGACAGTGGTACTTGGTCTACATACATCATAGGGTTTTTGTGATGGGAGCCCCTTACACAGCTAAAGTATAATAGTTGTATGAGTTATTCTTTTTTTTTTTTTTGTGAGGCAGTGGGGTGAAGTGACTTGCCTGGGGTCGCACAGCTAGTAAGTATCAAGTGTCTAAGGTCAGATTTGAACTCAGGTCCTCCTGACTCCATGGCCAGTGCTCTATCCACCGCACCACCTAGCTGCCCTCTGTCAGTTATTCTTAATTCTGGGTCCTCTACTGACCAGTGCCTCCAGGGCCAGAGAGACGGCTGCACTGTCGCAGGAAATGCTGCTGTCCTTCAGTGAACAGTAAAGTTTGGCAATTTGGGCTTTGTTAGTAAATATTCAGTCAGGGCAGCCATTTGGGGCTGGTGGGAGTTCCCTTTTTGAATTCTTAGAACGTGGGCTGGGCCCAGCTGTTTGCTTTCTAAAATTCTTTGACCAGATCTCAGATTTCTATTGGTCAATCCTTGCCAAGCCCCTAATGGATGAATGGTTTAAGAGGACAAGAGGCCTCAGCTGCAGGAGGGGGGAAAAACACCGCTTCCCAGGGGTATCTGCCCTCCCAGAGGAGGAGGCCCCTCAGGACCAGGCTGATTCTGGCTGTGACCATTTTGGGTTTCAGAGAAGAGGCGCTTCCCCAGCTGACAGGCAGGCCTGGCTTCTGCCTGATGGTGTCAGCATCGTTAGCAGCCCCTGGAAGCAGAAGGAAGACGTTTGGGAGCTCTCTCTGTATCTTCCCAATGAAAGCGTAGGGCCCTGGGAAAGAAGGCAGAGGAGGGTGGAGTGGTTAGGGCCCTGCAGCGTTGGTTTTTCTGGCCCAGAGTAGAGAGCAGGCCCTTGTGAATTGGACCCACGTGGCATCATTTATCTTTGAGGTGGGCAACACCAAAGACCTGCTCCAAGGTAGGAAGCGACTCCTGGGCAGTTGGACAGGTGTTGACCCGCCCTCTCTAATAGCCATTGCACACGGTGGAAGCTGCTGAATGTTTCGGACCTCAGTCAGTTCATCTGTAAAACAGTGGCACAGTATGACAGGTTCTCTGAAAGCCCTCCTGGCTTTGATTCTGAGATCACTGATACCAGCCTTGCCCCTCTTGTCTCTGCTCCCTAACTCCCTCTCTTCTCCCCACTGCTCAGCAATGTCCCAAACAGATCCACCTTTGTGTGTCCATACTGTGGAGCCCGCAACCTGGACCAGCAGGAGCTGGTGAAGCACTGTATGGAGAATCACCGCAACGACCCCAACCGCGTGGTGAGTGGGCAGGGGCCAAGCGGGCTTCAGGCTGGGGGCAGCTGCACGCATGCCAGTGGTGGGGAAGCGCAGTGCGTGCGTACAGCGCTGCGTCCCTCCTGGGTCTGCCAGCATCACGGCAGGCACCGTGCCAAGCACTGGGATACAGAGAGGCAGGAACGACGCCTGCCCTCCAGTCTCCCAGTCTGATGGGGGGGTGGTCTGCGGCCGGATAGACGGGGAGACCGGCGCTGTTCTCAGGGGCAGGCCTCTTACCCCTTCTGCTGGGAATTAAGCTGAGACTTGCAGGGAGATAGGAGTCAGGAACACAGAAGAGCCTTCCCAGCACAGAGGAGAGGTGCTGATGGGGGACCACCAAGGAGGCCAGTGACACTGGACTGCAGAGGAATGGGGGCGGGGGGTGGAGTAAGGGGGAAGAAAAGACTGCCATGGGTAGGAAGGGGTTGGGTCTCGAAGGCCTTTAAAAACCAAGGAGATTTTATTTTTTATCATAGAGATAATAGGTAATTCTAAAAAAAAATTTTTTTAACCAAATTTTAAATTTTCGAAAAGAAATAATAGGTAGTCACCGGGGTTTCTTGAATAGAGATAGGTGATGTGGTCAGACCTAAACTTAAAGATCAATTTGACAACTGAATGAAGGCAAGGCTGAAGTGAGGAGAAGCTAAAGGCAATTCTCCATGTCTGGGGTGATGAGGGCCTGCCCAAAGGTCATGTCATGTCATGTCAGGAGGGAGATGTTTCTAAGGGAGCATCACCAGAACTTGGCACCACATTAGGTTGGGGGGAGGAAAAGGAATGAGGAACCAGGGGTGACAACCAACATTGTGAGCCTGGGTGACAGGGAGGATGGTGGTTACCTTGCTGCTAAGACAGGGAGGTCTTGGGGAAAAAGACACCATTTGGGATGTGTTGAGCTTAAGGCGAGTTCAGGAGAGAAATTGGTGAGGGCTGGATAAGTGACCTGAGAATCATCTGCATAGAGATGGGAGCTGGTGAGAACAAGGAAATAGTACAGAGGGAGAAGAGGGCCCAGGACCATATTAGGGGACCCCCACAGTTAGTGGGCATGACCTGGAAGAAGACCCAGTGAAGGAGACTGAGCCGGAGTAGTCAGACAGGTATTAAGGAACCAGGAGAGCAGAGGAGTGACGAGCTCTAGAAAAATGAGGACTGAGGAAAGGCCATTCAGTATGGCGATGAAGAAAGGTCTCACTGGTACCTTTGGAGAGAGTGGTCGTCAGTTGAGAGTGAGAGGAAAGAGGTGGAGAGATCAAAAGCAGATGATTTTTCAAGTTTAGCCACAGAGGGGAGGAGAGGTTTACAAAAACAGCTGGCAAGGCTGGGATGGATCAAATGACAGGTTTGAAGATGGGAGAGACGTTGGCATGTTTGTAGGCAGGCAGGGGAAGATTGGAGGTCATTGAAAGATATGGGGTGATGGAGGAAAAGCAGCAGGAGTCACTTGTGCAATGAGAGAGATTTGCTTTGTCAAGGAAAAGTGCTATACCTTCATGTGATATGCAGATGGAGAGAGGAGTCTAGCAGAAGGAACTGAGTGATGGGAGAGGAAGAAGAGGGAGCTCCCGTAAATGGTCTGTTTTTCAGTGAAATACGAGGCCAGGTTCTCAGCTGGGAGTCTGGGGCAGAGAAGCTACGGGAGGTTTGAGGAGGGCTGAGAAGGTCTGGGAAAGCCAAGGTGGTGAGTTGATTTTGAAGATGTAAAAGGTATGCTGTACTGGAGGGAGGACCTGGTAGAGACTGTGTAACGTGAACTTATAGGAAACCCAGTCAGCATGATTGTGTGGTTCTTTTAGCAGGCTGAAAACAGGAGAAAAGGCAGCAGATAGTAGGGAATAATCCAAGGATGAGATGTGGTGTGGCAAAGTCATTGATTGGAAAAGGGGGCAGAGGGCCAGAGTGTAGAGCGTAGTTTGAGATTGAGCTCATTCCCCAAAAGCCCAAGATAGGAAAAGGACCATGGGTGTAGTGCGGGCAGAGGTGTCAGCCTGGGAAATGACGGGGGTTGAGGGGTGGAGAGTCTGAGGAGGACTATACAACATTAACATCAAAAAAACTAGAATCAGTACAGTGGCCATGCTTGATTCCAGACACTATGAAAATACATCAATAAAACTTTTTTTAAAGGACTAAGTTTAGGGGTTGTAAGGCAGAGGGAAAGATGGGATGATATCTTTCCGTTATATTACTATGATATAACATTCCATTATGCAAAGTTCTCAGAGAGCAAGAGCAGCGATTCAGAAGTTGGGCCTCCCCACGTCAGCATTGTTCACCCACCAAGGCATGCCAATGTGTTTGTGGTCAGCCACACTGTGGGCACAAAACTCCCTGCACTGTTGGCTCAGGTTCTGAAAACTTTGTCCTGCCCTCTTGGTTATCCTGGTGTAAAGGCGAGGAAAAGCCCCTTGGGTCAGTCAGTGGTCAGTCAACAAACACTAAGTGAGTGCCTGCTCGATGTGGCGTGTGACCCAGAGGAGAAGGGCAGTCATCAGAGAGAGGAGTGAGACAAGGCAGTTGTGGTCTGGGGGAAGGAAGGGAGCCCGCCTTCGGTTGGAGGTGAAGGTCCCCCTTCCCCTCAGGTAGACACGTGCTTTATTCTGAAAGGACTGGAGGTTGTCTTCAGGACGGATTCTGTGGAAGCCTATCCACGGTGCCCAGCACCGTGCTGAATGCAGAGTGGGGGCTTTGGGGAGGCACATCTGGGCTCACCAAACACGGGCCTACCTCGGTGTTCACTGATCGGTTGGCCTGTCCAGATTTGGGGGAGAGGAGCATGGGGACCACTCTGAGGCAGTTCTGAGTCTCTGCCCAGCTGGCACTGGGGTGTGATTAGGCACAGGCTTACCCAGAACTAAAAGGTCCTGCTTCTCAGAGGAGGGACGGGGACGGGGAGGTGGCTCTGCCCCAGCCTGCCCTCGGCCCTCACTCAGCTCTGGTGCCATCTGTGTTGCAGGTCTGCCCCATCTGTTCAGCCATGCCCTGGGGTGACCCCAGCTACAAAAGCGCCAACTTCCTGCAGCACCTCCTCCATCGACACAAATTCTCCTATGACACCTTTGTGGTGAGTGCCAGGCGCTGGGATACAAAAAGAGGCAAAAGACAAACAAATGCACGCAGACAGGATAAACAAGAAGGTTAGCAGAGTCTGGAGAGCCTTAGAACCAAGACAGGCTGGCCAAGGCTTCCCGGAGAAGCTAAAAGGAAGCCAGAGAGGTCCAGGGATAGACCAGCCTCTGACCAAGCGGTCACAAGTGGCCTGGCCCTGCTCTGGCCCTCATGGCCACTAGAGGGCGTGTCAGGAACCTTAAAAGGCCACCAATCCCTTTGGCTTCTGGGAGGGGGCTGAGTTCAGGCCAAGGGCAGCTTCCCACAGATTTTCATTAAGATGCTGAGTCATAACCTCCTGTGGTCTCCTGAACTTCTCACCCCCTTAGATATTCTCACTAGCCGTGGCATGTTGAAAGGGGAGCCCCTGCAGGGGACCCATGTGCTGCCCTTAAGGAGATGAGACTGCAGGGCTGTGAGTCAGGCTTCCCAGACAGATTTCAAAGGCCCCCCAGTTACAGAAAGGGCCATTCTCATTGAAGGTTTGCCAGTGCCTAGGAGGGACAGGTCCAGCTTCTGAGGAGAGGAAGGCTGGGGGCGGATGGTGGGGAGGGAGCCTCTCTAGTCATGGCTTGATGAACTGTGGTAGAGGCAGCTGGGTGCTGCAGCGGGTGGAGGACTGGACCTGGAATCAGGACACCAAAAGAGAGATCCAGAGACTCAGGCTGTGTGACCCTGGGCAGGTCACTTACCCTCCTCATAGGAGGTGGTGAGCATCAAAGGAGATCCACTTTGCAGACCTTAAAGTGCTCTCAGGGTGCTAGCAACCAGCTGTTGTATTTAGGTGGGGGTTAGAAGAGCTGGTCCAGATTGTGTGATTCTGCCCATGGAAAGGTGTTGGTTGGGGGCGATTCCTTAGAGCAGGAATGCAGGGATCAGATAAGGTGCCTGCTGAGGGGGACCCAGGGTGAGAGCCTCAGCTGTTCCCTCCCTGTCCCAGCCCTGCCTGCATTCCTTCTCTCCACAACTGTCAGGGTCCTGGCTTTTACAGGGTAGCCAGTATACCTGTTCTCCCCTGACCCATTTGGCACCTGTGATTATCTGGCCTCTGGATTCAGTGTCAGTGGTTGCCTTTTTCCTGATTTGTCTTCATCTTTCTTGGTATCCAAGCCCTGTAGTAGAATCGGAGCAGATTTGGAATTATTTTCTGCAACAGTTGGAAGAACCCACAGCTGCAGCAACAGCGTATGAGCGTGCCTGGCTTTCTGCGCCCTCTGCTGTCTCTGTTTGATGGGGTGTGGTGTTTGGATTTACATTTCTCTCACAGTGGTCTGCAGTGTTTTTCTCTGTGACTACTGATAGTTTGCATTTCTTTTGAAAACTATTCATAACTTTCTGTCATATTTGAGTCAGTTCCCTATCCTTTTTTTCCCCCCAGGACTACAACATTGACGAAGAAGCTGCATTTCAGGCTGCCCTGGCACTGTCCCTCTCTGAGAACTGAAGGCAGCCCTGGCTGGCCTGAACCCAAATCTGGGGTCAGAAGTCACCTTTTCCACATGGAGGGACAGGAGGCTTGCTCATTCTTCAGCATTCCCTAGCAGTTAGGCCTCCCTGTCACCTTTATTTGAATTGCACCTTTTTTAATAAGGTGGAATCTTTATTCCTTGCACAGGGAGAGCAGGCCAACCCCAGGGGCCAATCCTCAGTGCCCTCCCGAGGGTAGGAAAAGATTGCACCTTTTACCAGTTCAAAGGTTTGGTCTAAGTGAGGACTTTCACCTCTCTTCTGGGTAAAGTAAAGCTGGTTTGTTTGGTGTTTGGAGACCCAGATGGTCCCTAGAGGGAGGAATGTCTGGCTCTGCTACATTGGAGCATCGAGTTGTCTTTTATTTTCTAAGCAATGGTTTGGCTTTCATGCTTAAGAACACTGTTACTGCTGATCCAGACAGGTTAGACCTGAGGGGAGTGGAGAGGTGGGAGAGACTGGAAGAGAAACTTAGCTGAAGACCTGAACGAGAGCCCCATCCTACCATCTGGCATTCAGTAAAGTTTCCACCTTGCTCATTTGGCACCAGCTTTTGTGATACTTAGAGATTCTGGCATTTTTCTATATTAACCAGTGTGGTAACCTTTTCACATTTTATAGAGCGAGGAAAAAGCAGTTACTCTTCTTCATATTGCAATATCTGTGTTTGACTAGGAACAATAGTATTTTTATGGAACATTTAAAAAAAATTATATTTTTTAAAAAAAATCAAAAACAAACCTAGTTATAGGATCAGCATAGGGGGTTGATACGGAGCCTGGGGAAGCCAGAACCCAAACTGGAATTAAGAGGAATCTTTCCACTCGTGCTTGTGTGATTTTGAGGTGGCCACGTTCGTTAGATTATTTCTATATTTTTAAGGTTTTCGTTGTGTCTGTTTACCTTTTGCTAATAAGAGACTCCCAGCCTCTTGTGCAAGCAGTGATGCCGCTGGGATTGTCAGGTTCTGGGACCCAGATGGATCTTTACACAGTGGAAACAGTAGAGTTGCTCCCAGGCTTAGGAGAAGACTAGACCAGAAGGGCCCTTTTTATCTCCTTTCCAAAGAGATGACTGGAATTCACTCCTCAGACAGAGGCTTGGGGGCAGCCTCACCGAAGGACAGGGTCTCGGGGTCTGTAGCATCCCACAGATCCAGGAAAGGGGAGCAGTGTGGAGCCATGGACCATCTTCTGTGGCCAGTACTTATGCTCAGCATTGGGGTTTGGGAAGAAGGTTGTTCAGCTTTCTGGTTTAATGATATAAATTATTGTTGTCTTTTTAAAAAAATAAAATAAAAAGTTTCAGAGCATCTACAGCTAGATGTGATAAGGGCTGTTTTATTCCTCAGTTTGGGAATCTGGGGACAGCATCTTGGAGAATCTAGACTCACCTTTGACCTTGAGTGAGGGAGAATGACATTCCCTATTTTAAGTAATGCCAAGATTTCTTTTTATACCACTTAGAATAGGTGGCTTTCACTTATTCTAGAACACCTCCCAAGGCAGCCTGTCCCTTTCCTTTTGGAAAGTTCTGACACTGAGCCACCATCTGTAAATGCTGTCTGTATTTGGTCATGGTTCTCTGGGCTGTCTCCACACCACTTTGCAAACCTTAAAGCACCGTATAAAAATGAATTGTTATTAAGTGCCCGGGGAGTGAATCAAAGGTGGAAAAATGAGAGTCCGTGTAAGTCTAATATGAGGTAGGGTGTGACAGGCACAAAGAAGAAATCCTGTCCAAATGCTGTTGGAAATTTTGAGGAATAAGACTGGATATGTGCCTCAGCTTGTCCTTTCTGACTAGTCAGCACCTAGGCTGCACATTGGATAAGAAGCCAGACTTGGACTCAGGGAGACTGGTTTTCAAGTCCTGTTTACACAGTAGCTATGGGACCCTCAGCAAATCACTTCATCTGTAAGATGGGGCTGATGATATCATCTGTCCCTCGGAGTTGTGGGGATAAAATGATGAAATTTGTGAAGCACTTTGAAAAGATTTAAGAACTAGGTGTACATGCTAACTAATTATGGTCATACTCCAGATAGGTGGTTTTCTAAGTTAATGTGTGGCCTGCAGGGATTCTAATGTAGTTTAACAGCACTTCTTTGTATCGGTCTGACTTCACCATTTAGGACATCCAGAATCCAAAAGATTAAAAACCCATGTACTTACTGATCACTACCTAGAGCTGACTCAGCACCCCTTCCCCCACCACATAACTGCAGTGAGGCTGCACTAGCCAATCCAAAGGCCTGACACAGGCTTGCAGCAAAAACCACCCCCACAACTTCCTGATTCCAGCTTTGAGTCTGAGCCAACCAGTAACAGACATGGCTGCAGCTACCAGGCTATAGGTTGGGGAGAACAGAGCCGTAGTCTGTGCTGCAAAAGATCTGTGCAAGAGATTGGCAGGACAGAGGGGAAAGGGCCAGACATAGTAGATAAAGCTCAGCTTCATGTATACCCCCAAAGCCTCAGAGACCCAAACTGCAGAGATCAACTCAACATCAGCATGGTGTGTGGGGCTAGAAAACTAAGGAATAGATGGAATGGGGCTGGGGGGCTGGCAGGCATGTGAGGAACTCAAACCCCAAGGCAAAATTTCAGCATCCAGTTTTGGCCAGGTCTGTCCCCACAAGAGTCACTTGGGTCAGAGCTAGGCTGGTGAACCAGGAATCTCCCCATCGCAGGAGAGGCTGAGACTGAGAGATCCATCCCCCAGGGGAACCATCAGCTGGGAAGGAAGGGTTCAGAAAGTGAGTAATAGGGAGAGGGTGAAAGACTGAAATTAAGATCTCAGGAAGAAGAAAACTCAAGACTTTGAACATAAGCAGGTAAGTTAATAGGGAAAACATTAATAGCAGGAAGAATTACAACCTCTGATCTAGTAAATTAGTTTGGTCTTCTATGACTAAATACCACAAAACAAAGGGAAAGAGTCTAAAAGTTGAGATAGCAGACCCTGTGGAATTTGAAGGAAACATGAAGTAAACACTGTTCCTGAGTAGTTTAAAAGGAAACGAAAATTATGAGCAGGATAAAGGCCTGCACAACGATGTTAATGGACAAAAGAGAAGCAGAAACCAAACCCATAACATTAAAAGTAAAAATGCTCACCATCCAAGCAAAACTTTGCTCTAGGTTTCCCAGAAAGATTGTGAAAGGACAGAAAACTCACCAGAAAGCAGAAAATAAGAGAACTGCCCAGAAGTTCTAAACAGAAAATGAAATGTCAATCAAAAGAAGTAATAGGTTGCCTCCAGGAAAACGAAGTACTGACAAACCAAGGCCACTAACTGGTTAAATTTACCAATTCAGTTTTGAAACAAGTTCTACAAGCAATCTGGGAGAAAAGGCTGTCTAATGCAAAGGAAGGAAAATTCAAGTAATGAAAGACTTCTGAGCACACAAGAAGACTTGGGAGAGGACGGAATAATGAAGTGGCAAATTTGAGCTTCATTGTAAGTGAAGAAAGATGGATTTTCAATAATAAAGAGGCATTTGAAATAATGTTCTTTGAAATAAAGCCGGGCCTGAAGAGAATGCTTCTTAAATACCCTAGATGGCCAAAAGGCGGGAATGGTAAATGAATGCCACATGCTAGGACAGCGATAACTACCGAGTGACGTCTGAGAAACCAGTAAGAGACTGTCTAAATGTACATAAAGATGGAAGTCAGGTGGAGCTTAGAGTGAAGAGGCAAGCCTCGGGGCATTATGGACAGAACCTGCCAATACCCCACCTACAAGTGAATCTTTTTTTGTTTGTTTGTTTTTGTGGGACTGCATTACAAAATGGGATGATGGTTCATGAAAGGGAGGGAGGAGAGCAGAGGGTTGGAGGGGAATGTGATGTGCTTGGTCAAACCAAGGACTAGCAATGAGAAGAAGGTGATTCCTATGGTCTCAGGAAAAGAAAAGCCTGGAAGAAGGGGGTGAGAATTGGAAAAGGTAGAGATGAAGGGAGGCCTTGCTTTGGGGTGGGAGTGGGTTTCACTGATGAATATTCCTATGGATGAAGAGAGATGTTCCGTGAAAGGTGATGGGGACATTGTGCAGGTGGAGTTTGGGGGATTTGGTTCCAGAAAGACACTTGTCTTATCTCATAAGGGAGGTAGAATTGGAACTCTTAGGGGTAACTAGCATCTGGAGGAGTGGGAGGGCATGGGCTCAGAAAGATTTTTAGTTAAATGAGGAAAAGAAGGTAATGAGGGGAAGGGTATAGATCAGTGTTGGGCTACATAATCAGGAATGGAGGTGGGGGGGTTTGATGAGTACTACCATGACATAGCATCCTCTATAGATGTGTGTGTGTATCCATATATATCCTAGTGAATAGGATTAGTTGAAGGAGAGGGGAAGGAGAAATCTACTTGACTGAGAAAGAAAAAAGGAGAGGAGAAAAGAATTAACCAGATAAAAGCAGAAAATAAAAAGGAAGTAATAAGCAAAACCCCAAAGGGAAAATGCTAACAAACAGGAGGGAGGAATCAGATGAGGGGAAGAGAGTCAGTGGAAATAAGGCAAAAGGGGGGGGGGGATCCTAACTTGAAAAAAATCGAGTATTACAGACAAATAGGTGGAAATATAAACCAAACTCATAACTTTAAATGTGGATGGATTAAACAATCCAATAAAATGAAAAAGAATGATAGTTTGTCCACTTTCTTTTTTCAGGCAATTGGGGTTAAGTGACTTGCCCAGGGTCACACAGCTAGTAAGCGTGTCAAGTGTTTGGTCTGTGGCTGGATGTGAACTCAGGTCCTGACTTCAGGGCTGGTGCTCTATCCACTGCGCCACCTAGCTGCCCCACGAATGATAGTTTGAATAAGAAAACAAAACCCTACAATCTTGCTTACAAGAAATACGTTTTTTAAAAAATCAGACATACACAAAACTAAGGATGGAAAAATTGTGTTTTGCATCACGTGAATCAAAAAAAGCAGGAGTTGTAATCATGCTATCTGACAAAACTAAAATTAAAAAATTAAAAGGGATAAACAAGGAAACTGTGCTAAAGGGAAGACAAATTTACACACTCCAAATGTGTTAGCACCCAAATTCATAAAGGAAACATTAGTTGAGCTACAAGAAGATATAGACAGTAGCACAACAGTGACAGGAGATTTCAATATCCCCCTCTCAATTTTGAATAAGTCTAACAAAGATAAACAAAAGAGAAAATCTGGAACTAAACAAATTGCTGGAGAAACAAGCTAAAAAACTAATGGCACGGTAAAATGGGATGGTAAAAGAAATACATACTTCTCAACACCACATGAAACTTTTACAAAAATTGACTATACACAGAGAGATTGCAAAAATGTAAAAAGGCAGAAATAGTAAATACATCCTTTACAAACCATGACACAATAAAAATAGTCATCGGTTCAGGGGCCACAAAGAAAAGACAGACCCATGTGAAGTCAATAAAATCCTAACTAAAGAGCAGGTCAAAGAACAAATCACAGTAACAACTAATAATTCTGTGAAAGAAAATTATACCATTGAGACAGCATACCAAAATTTCTTGCATTCAACTAAAGCAGTCCTTGGAAAAAATTACATCCCTATAAACATACATTAACAGAATAGAAAAAGAGGATTAATTGAACTGAATATACATTTTTAAAAATTAGAAAATCAACAAATAAGCAAATCTTTAAAAAGCACAGAAGAGGAGATATTAAAAATTGGAGAAGCAGCTAAATTTAAAACTAAAAAAAAATTACAAAACTAAAAGCTGCTCTTTGAAAAGACTAATAAAATTGATGAACCTTGAGCTACTCTGATTAAAAAGAAGAGAACACGAAATTAAATCAACAAAATAGTAAATGAGCAAGGTGAAATCTCAAAACCAGAAGAACAAAAAGAATAATCAGAATTTATATAGTTATGTGCTAACAAAATGGAGAACACAAAAGAGAGGAATGCCTTCAAATACAAAATGCCCAAACTAGCAAGACCAGACAGACATCTTTAGTAAGTGTCAGAAGAGGAAATATATATAGCTGTAAAGGAAATGCCAAAGAAAAACTGGTCCTGATGCATTCTTAGAAGAATTCTAGCAAAGTTTTAAAGAAAAATTGGTATCATACTCAAAAACTGAGAAAGAAAGCGCCCCATCAGATCCATTTTATGTAACAAATATAGTTCTAATACCTAAACTGGAGAAATGTAAACATAGAAGGAAAACTATAAGCCACTATTATTCATGAATATTGACTCTATTTTTAAACAAAATCCTGTCAAACATACTACAGTGATTTATCAAAGAAATAATCCATTATGACCAAGTAGAATTTATACCAGGGAGGCAAGAATGACTTAACATTAGGAAAACAATCAACATAATCATATGAAAAACCAGAACATTCAAAACCACGTGGTCATGCCAACAGATGCTGGGGGCAGGGGGACCCTTGACAAAGCATAACTATCTTTCGTGCTTAAAAACCCTACAAGGTATAGGCATAGAAGAACCTTTTTTAGTGTCATAGAAAAGCGCCTACCTAAAGCCCAAAGCAAGCATCATATGCAATGAGGATACACTAGAATCTTTTCCAATAAATATGGGAGTGAAGCACAGATACCTACTCTCCTCACTATTATTTGATACAGTTCTGGAAATATTAGCAACAGCGATAAGACAAAGAGAAAGAAATTAAAGGCATAAAAATAGGTAAACGGAGATAAAACTATCTCAACTGATGATATACTTGAAAAATCCTAGAGTCAGCAAAAATACTAATCAACACAATAGGTTCAACAAAGTTACAGGCTACAAAATAGACTCAAAAGTCAATAGCATTTCTACATAAAAATAACAAAACCTGAGAAGCAAAAACAGAAAGGGAATCCCATTCCAAATAGTTACAAATTGTATAAAATATTTGAGAATTGACCTACCCAAACCAAAGCAAATGAAAGACTAGCATAGAGTCAATTAAGAATATCATTAAAGAAATAAAGAACGACTCAAATAGCTAGAGGAATATTCAGTGCTCTTGGCTAGGCTGAGCCAATATAATAAAAGTGACAATACTACCAAAATTAACTTAGATTTTTAATGGTAGACCAATCAAATTCCTAAGCAGACATTTTATAGAACTTGATAAAACATTAACAAAAATCATTTGGATAAACAAAAGATCTAGAATATTAAAGGAAATGATGAAATCAGGATAAAGGGGAAATAGCTCTTCCAGACCTCAAAACATATTATAAAACATTGATCATTAACATGGAAATGTTTTACATGATTGCACATATATAACCTATAACAAATTGCTTACCAAACTTAGGGAGGGAAAGGAAGAAAATAAAAACAAATTAATAAATGAATAAAACAACAGTCATCAAAACCATCTGGCGTTGTTTAAAAAATAGAAAGATCAATGGTGAGTGGAATTGTCTTTGCAGATGTTTTTGTACAGTTTTTTTGTGTTTTGACTACAGGGTGGGATCCCCACCTGCCATGGTAATCAGGCCAAGGTTGGGTAAGCAGACAATTTTTAGGACACCTTTTCTAGCCCCTTCCTCACACCAGGAGGTGAGTAGTACAATACTCAAAAGGCTACTTGGATGTCCAGGGGGCTGCCAAATCCTACTGGGACTTCAGTGAGAAGACGACCCTATGGCCTGTGCCGCCTATGTGCAGGATTGTTACTACAGCTCCCAATGTGTCCCCACCTGCTGCTTCCTCACTTGCCTGTCACCACAGGACTTCGGGATGGGTAAAAATGGTAAAATGGTATGGGCGATGTCTTTTGATTCGTGCATAAATTGGATTGAAGTGAGGCAGAGTTGCATGAAGTCGTCGGCCTCACTCTCTCCTCCAGAGTCATTGAAGTCCAGTGGCAGGACAGAATCAAGATAACTGGTGATGGCTCAAGATGCAGTGGATGATCTTGGCGTCTTCGATGTCTAACCATGCTCTAAGCGCTCCATGGCACCTGCTTCACCTGCTTTCTGGGCTGTTGGAATAGATTGTTCTCATCTGCCCATTCCACCAGGAGAAGTCTTCACACGCTTGGGGTAGACACCCCCCTAACTCACCAACGGGTTTGAGACCCTTAGGTTATCCTCAATCCGGTTTAGCCCATCTGCTGAAATGGCTTACCGAGTGGCTGCTGGACGTGCGACAGCTTCTTGGAGTCACAGGTGAGAGTTAGGTGGAACAGGTGGATGCCAAAGGTGGAAAACAACCCTTGAAAGGGCTTGGCAGCCTTCAGACCTGAGGTGCTAGTCTTCCCTGAACACCTTCAGACTAGACAAGGAAGAATTAGAAACAATGGGATTCAATAACTCAGTATTTAATAAAGTGGAAAATGTAAATTACCTAGGGAAAAACTATTTGATAAGAACTGTCGGGAAAACTAGAAAGCAATCTGGCAGAAATTAGGCTTAGATTAAACACCTTACACTATATTCCACAATACATTCTAAATAGACACATGACCTTAATGTTATAAATAATATTTTATTTTTTCCCAATTATATGTAAAAACAATTTTTAGTATTTTTTTTAAATTTTGTGTTCCAAATTCTCTCCCTCTCTCTCCTCACCTCCCCCTGAGACTGTAAATAATTTGATATAGGTTATACATATACAATCAACACATGACCTTAAAGTTAAAAATTATACTATAAAAAATGAGAAGAGAAACAGATCACATACCTCTCACAGCTATAGGTAGGAGATGTATTTTTAATAAAACAAGGGATAGAGACAATTACAAAAGATGAAGTAGATAATTTTTTATGTGAAACTAAAAAAACTTTTACAGAAACAAAATTGATGCACCTAAGATAAGTAGGGAAACAGCTGAATAGGAAAAAAATCTTTGCCTCAGATTTTTTCAGTAAGAGATTGGTAGCCAAGATATCTAAACAATAAATAAACAAACAAACAAACAGATAAATAAATGTGTATGTACATGTGTGTGTAAATCTAATAGCTATTCCCTAGTAGTTAAGTGCTCAAAAGATATGCACAGTTGTCAAAAGGAAAATTGCAAAGTATTCACAACCACATGAAAGAATGTTCCACATCCACTAATTGTAAGAGAAATACAAATCAAAACAACTCTGAGGTTTCCTTTCACACCCTACAAATTGGCAAAAAAAAAAATGACAACAGTCAATATTGGAAGTGTTATGGAAAGGTAGGCATACTGATACATTGTCGGGGGAGTTGTGAAATGTTACAGCGTTTTTGGAAAGCAATTTGGAATTATGCAAATAAAGTGACTAAAATGTTCACATCCTTTGAACCAGAGACTCCATTGCTGGGTTTATACCCCAAGGAAGCCATCAATAAGAAAAAAGTCCTCTTATACTCCAAAATATTTATCGCAGCACTTTTTGTGATAGCTAAGAATTGGAAACAAAGTAGATGCCCATCAATTGGAGAATGGCTAAACAAATTCTGCTACATGAATGTAATGAAATATTACTCTGCTATAAGAAGTGATGTATGTGATGAATACAGAGAAGCATCGAAAGATCTATATGAACTGATACAGAGTGAAGTAAGCATAGTCAAGAAAACAATATACACAGGAACTACAAATAATGTTAATGGAAAGGACAATTATACACCAAAAACTCAAAAGTAAATGAAGTAAAATTATAAATATCAAGTGAGATTCAAATGAAGAGATATGAAAAGACACTCTCGATCTACTCCTTCATGAAAGTGGGAGGTTCACAGACATTACACATTGCACATAATTTTGAACTTTTTCCAATGTATCAATCAGTTGTGGTAACTTTTTCCTCTCTAAAAACAATACCATTTGTCATATGCGATGGTTCTCAGTGAGGGGGAGAGCAAGAGATATATGAAATATTATGGCGATGTAAGAAAGAGAAAATATCAGTGAAAACTTATTTTAAAAAAAGAAAAAAAATGTGCTATAAGAAACTAGAAGAGAAAGAGATCATATATCCTTCACAATTATGAGCATATCCTTACCCAAACAAAGGATATGTGCAATTATAAAAGGTGAAATGGACAATTTTAATTACATAAAAATGGAAAATTTCTACATAGACAAAATTAATGCACCTAGCTTAAGAAGGGAAGTAGTTGAATAGGGAAAAAAAATCTTTGTCTCAGATTTCTCTGATAAGGGTTTGGTCACCAAGACATATAAACAATTAATAAATATATTACACTAATAACCATTCCTCAGTAGATAAGTGATCAAAAGATATAAACAGTTTTCAAAAGGAAAATTGCAAAGTATTCACAACCATATGAAAGAATTTCCCAAATCACTAATAATAAGAGAAATAAAAATCAAGGCAACCCTGATGTTTTGCCTTACACCTTGCAAATCATCAAAGCTGCCAAAAAACTGGCAGGAATTAATTTTGGAAGGGTTGTGAAGTGATGGGCATACTGATATATTGTTGGTGGAACTGTGGAATATAGTACAACCATTTTGGAAAGCAATTTGGAATTATGCAAATAAAGTGAATAAAATGTCACTCAATTCACCAAATTGTGTGACTAAAATGTCATTATGTGGTTCAGTTAGTAGGTTTACATCCCAAAGAAGCCATCAACAGGAAGAAAGGTCCCATATATACCAAAATATTTATAGCAGCACTTTTTTTTGTGATAGCTAAGCATTGGAAATTAAATAGATGCCCACCAATGGCTAAACAAATTGTAGTACTTAAATGTAATGGAATATTGTTATACAGGGGGAGCAGGAGGAATATTGGGGATAACTATGATGATATAAGAAACATATGACATCAATAAAAATGCATTTAGGGGGAAAACAAGAATCCCACCTGAAACCTGTACATTGAATATATCCCAATTTAGAGATAGTTGCCTTTCTCCTTGCAGCCATTTCAATTTTCTGGAGTAATTGATCTATCCCCAAATAGGCTATTTCTGTCTTTTTCCTTTAGGGGGAGTCTGCCTCTATAGGAGAGAAGGGGTGAACTCAGAGACAAGAGAGTGGATAAGTGATGCTATCTTATTTGCGTGGAAAGCCATAGGGACAGTCTGCTAGTCTAGAAGCAACATCTCCTGTTTTTAGATAGTTCATCTTGCTGTCCCACAAAGTACAAAGCAACTAGGTGGTGCAATGGAGAAAAGAACTAAAATTGGAGTGAGGAAACTCTGACTCAGTCACTTAACTAGATATGTAACTCTGAGCAAGTCACTTAATCTGTCTCCACCTCAGTTTTCTCATCTGTAAAATGGAGTTAGATTCAATGGCCTCTAAGATGACTTGTGGCTCTAAATCTATGATTCTACTGAGTAAAGCCTTACCTTGACATGGTAATAATAGATGGTATATTGGCCCTCAAAAGCTGGGATAGCTTATCATAACCGCTTTTAACCTCACCCATTTTTCAGGAAAAGGCTATATTTCTGGAGTTGCACTTGGTCCTGAAGCAAAAGTCTTTCCTTTTTAAAATACTGAACACAGGGCAATTATAATGACCAAACTTGCTTGGCACCACAGAAGAGAGGTGAGAATGTACCTCCCTCCTGTCTTCGAAGATGTGATTGTGGAAATGGAACATAGACTCTTGACTGATGTATTGGCTAATTTTGCCAAACTTTTTTTTCCATTCTTTTTTTATTCTTTATTACAAGAGATGGGTCTCAGAGCAAGATGTTAAGGAATATATTGGAAGATTAAGAAGACGTAAAAACAAAAGGCATTAATAAAAAATGTTTTAAAAATATACCTCGTCAACCCGTAGGCTGTGCTAAATTCCTCAAATTCTGACTCTGATCCAAGATTTGTAATTTTTGAACAGTGATTTGCAAAGGATGCTGGGTATCACTGAGTTGCTGGTTCCTCTCCAACTCATCTGTATAGGCTGGGTTAGATGTAGATCAATCTGAAAGCAAGAGGACAGACTAGGTGATCTCTCTCTCTCTCTAGAACCTTCACCGTGAAGGGCTTGACAGTTCCAGAGGCAGTGATAATCTCAGGGGAACCTTTTAGGAGAAAGACCATCTCCATCTGCTAGTTCCTCGCTTGTAGCTGATAAATGACTTGTGAGGTCTGGCCTGCTGAAGGCCTCTGTTCCCAGCTGCTGTCTCTGTTAGCTTCTGGCTTACTGCCAACCTGATTATCAGAGCTCACTAATCTGACATGTTTGGCAGCCTGCCCAGTGCTAGGGGCTCTTGGGCTCCTGGCTTCTGCATCTTCCTCTTCCACCTCTCCAGAAGGTAGAACAGAGCAGCCTTACCACTGGTTCTCCTGCACCTCCCAAGCTGCTCTGGGTATACTCTAGTCACACCAAAGAGCATGCCTTGTTCGGTGATTTTCCTGCCTGGGGTTTAGGATTCCTAGGCTGGTTTCTGGTTTATTCTTGTTCTCAGTACTAGGTCATTTGGTGAGTTACCTGGAAGGTTTTTACCATGGTGAGATTCCCCCATGTTTGTTTGTTTTGGTGTGTCCCCCCTCCCCAATTTTAGAATCACTTTCACCTAAAATAAGCAGTGGGATATTCATGAATTGCATCTGGAAAAATCATTTGCTGTTGTTTATTGGTCCCACATTGCTGCTTACCCCCAACCCCTCCCTCAAAGCCCTCCCAACCTACCTGACCTAGCTTTCCTATTTCAGTCTCTTCCTCCCTATCACCTCAAAAAAAAAACAACAACTATGTTGTTTGAAAGATTTCCAAGAAATCAGGGAAGACTTGTATGAACTGATGCAGAGTGAAGTGAGCAGAACCAGGAAAACGATGTATACAGTAACAAACCTGTCAAGGCAAACAACTGTGAAAGACTTAACTTTGATCAGCGCAATAAGCAACCACGATTCAAGAGGACGAAGAATGAAGCACGCTGCTCACTTCCTCACCAAGGGGTGATGGATTCAGAGTCTCATCGAGACACACATCCTTTTGACATAGCCAATGCAGGAAGCTGTTTTGACTATACCTTTTTCTTACAAAAGTTTTCTCTTTCTTTTTTTTTTAAAGAGGGAAACCGTTGTGAGATGGAGAGAAAATGGATTTTTGTTCCTTAGAAAAAATGAAAATTTATTTAAAAAGAAAAGTTGCTCTGAGCTGCTGCTTGTATAATTCCAAAAGAGAAGATGCAGAGGCAACGATGTTAGCCTTCTGGGTTTTAAACCCAAAAGGGAGCCAGGGTTAGAACTGATTCTGAC